TAGAGCTATATTACCATCACAGAGTGATATCTACTAACAGATAGACGTTTCCGAAGACAATGATATATATATGACAGCAATATATGATACTTCTCTGCATAGCCTCTACCACTTCTGCGAAAAGATGCGTGATACATGGCAACCTCGTGCCTCTCTACCAGTATATCGCCGTGCGTGGCTAACTCTCGTTGCAATAGACAATAAAATCTAACAGTGTGGATAGCCTCCTGACCCCGGCGAGATACTGACCCGCTTCACATACCGCATCATCGTAGTCCAACTATACACCAACGCAACAACGAAAACCCAGATGCCCTGGGCCGCATATTGAAATCAACTCTCGTGTTTCTCGTGGGTAATTGGTATCTCCGTTCCAAGAGTATACGCACATGACCTCAGATATCGCTGCTAAGACGCATGATCGCTCGCTCCTCTGATGCCCTGCTCGATCGCGCTAGCTCGCTCGCTCCTATATCGCGCCGCAGCAACTCATTAACACACGCTCATAGAAATCTCTTAACAATACTTTACAACGCGAGTATAAGATGTCGCGTTCGTGTTGCGATTCCGCCTATACATACAAGACGAGCGCTCGTACCATATGACTGCGCTCTCTCTCAATCGAGATATATACGACGAGCTAGATAGATACATATAGAGATCTCTCCTCTCTCTCAGCTCTCCATAATGCTCTTCTCGCTCAGCTCCCTGATTACCGTCGCTCAATATACTAGAAACAGCGCGCATAATCCGCGCTCTTTCCGCTTCTTCTTCGCCACCCATACATACTTGTTTCTTCGGCACACATAGCGACTCATATATGGGCGAAATATAGAACTCTCTCTGCTCACTCGTGAGAGAGAACGGTTAAATGACATGTGACTATGCATCGCAAGGATCAGTCAATATATAGTTCTTACCAGACAAGTTCTAACCCAATCTAAGAATTGACTCAGAGTATCGTATACGGCCACACGAAGTCGAGAGGATACTCTTGAGACGGCGTCTTGGGAAAGAAAGGACGCTGTCGTTCAGCAAGTTTGTCGTCTTGGGGTTGGTTTCTCTACAACACTCATTTTCGTCAAGTACGGACGAACCAGTCCCCCTGGGGATGTAGAGAATATCATCAGCAGGGTCGGTTTTAAGTTAAGTTACTGGGACAGTGGTTATCTCTGGGGATATAATATTAACCCAGAAACAGAGATTATTTCATTGGGCCCAGGCATCATGGGTTTACTATTGGATTGTAATCATTATATCTGGAGCGGAGACTCCTGCGTCTCTTGCTTCTGGGTTAATTGAAGGGGACGACAGGATCGGGAATGCAGATACAGATTTATCTGTGTACGCGGGGTTTGCCCATGTATCTGAGGGTTTACTGCAGAAGTGGTGGAGAGAGGCAGGAAGACAGATGATGCTCCTGTTACATAAGATCATATGTCTTCGGAGAATTAAAGTAATTTATGCTTATTTAATTGGGTTTCAAGTCGTATTACCGTTTGCGTAATACCTATTGCTATTTATGTATTTATAGAAAATAAATTCAAAGAAAAATGAAATTTCTATTTAAAGAAAATTACCCATCTCGCCTCGAAGGAACGAAGTCGAGAGGATACTCTTGAGACGCGGTTCTTGGAAGAGAAAGACGCGGTCGAGTTCAGGAGTTGTCCCAGTCTTTGGTGGTGGATCTCTACGAACACTCATTCTTCAGTTACGACGAACCAGTCTCCCCTGGTGATGTAGAGAATATTCATCAGCAGGGTCGTTTAATTAGTTACTGGACAGGGTACTCTTGGAGGATATCAATTAACTAACCAGAAACAGGATATCTTCATTATGGGCCAGCGCATTTCGGGTTCTATGGTTAATCATAATATCTAGGAGGAGACTCCGCGTCTCTGCTTCTGGATAAATTGAAGGGACGACAGGTGGAATGCAGATACAGAGTTATCTTGCAATTAACCCCAGAAACAGAGATTTATTCATATGGGCCAAGGCAATCTGGGTTTTCTATTGCGTGTAATCATATATCTAGAGGAAGAACTTCCTTGTCTCTGCTCTCTGGGTAATTGAAGGGGACCGGACAGGTGGATGCAGATACAGAGTTATCTGTTAGTACGCGGGGTTGCCATGTTCTGAGGAGGTTTTCTGCAGAAGGTGAGAGGAGGGAGAAGACGATTATGCTTACATTAAGATCATATGTCTTCGAGGAATTAAATAATTTATGTATTTAATTGGGTTGTCAGTCGATTTATTTACCGGTTGGTATTAACGTTATTTTGCTATGTTGTTATCAAAATGGAAAGAGATTACGTGTTTTCCATTTTAAAAAATGGCGGAGTTATGAAGGGAATATTCCCTTATAAGTACGTGGAGGAATCAGTTGGAGTGTTTTTTCAAAGAGGAGTGTAAGGTGTGAAAGAAGAGTTAACTCCATAAGACAGGTCTTTAAATGGAAGTTTTAACCAGAAATTACCCATCTCGTGAGGAACAGAAGTACGAGAAATACTCTTGGACACCGTCTTGGAAGAGAAAGGACGCGGTCGTTCAGGAGTTTTGTCGTCTTTGGGTGGACTCTCTACGAACACTCATTTCGTCAGTACGACGAACCAGTCTCCCTGGGTTGATGTAGAGAATATCATCAGCAGGGTTCGTTAAGTTAGTTACTGGAACAGGGTATCTCTTGGAGGATATTCAATTAACCCCAGAAACAGAGATTATTTTCATATGGGCCCAGGCATCTGGGTTTCGTATTGGTGTAATCTATATCTAGGGAGGAGGATCCTGCGCTCTCTGCTTTTCTGGCAGTTCAATTGAAGGGGGGCGACAGGTGTGAATGCAGATACGAGTTATCTGTAGTACGCAGGCGGTTGCCATGGTATCTGAGGGTTTCTGCAGAAGGTGGAGAAGGGAGGAAGACGATGAGCTGTACTAAGATCATATGTCTTCGGAGAATTAAATAATATATGTATTTAATTTGGGTTGTCAGTCGTATACCCAGTCGTATACCGTTGGTATACGTATTTGTATTTATGTATTTATAGAAATAAATTCAAAGAAATGAAATTTCTATTTAAAAGGAAATTATCAGGTGAGGTCAGTCGTACGACAATAGGAAAATCATAGGTCGAGGGGTTTATTTCATTAAAATTGAATATTCTTATATCTCATTTAATTTGAATATATGAAAATTAAAAAAAAATCAATAACTAATTATATATATCAGTTGAATTACAATACTTTACCTATAATAATTAATTGTGCTAATTAATTATTTCAATTCATTACTCGAGAATTTCAAAAAGAGAGTATAATTTTACACCTTTCATCATTTTCATCAAATTACAAGAGTTAAAATATCTTAAATTAAGCATACACAAAATTAAAGCAACACAAATATAAATTATAATTATTTTCTCAAAAATTAAATTCAATTGAATTAAAAAATAGAAAATTATACAATTTGCACATTGCACGGACAGTAATAATGGAGAATATATTGAGGAATAAATTGAGCAATATTCCCATTTCATATAAAAATTTTGTTTATAGAAAATTAGTAATAATGGAGAATATATTTCAAGGAGAGATAATTTATTAAGTACGGCAACAAGCCTATGGGATAATCCCCATCAATCAAATAAACAATAAACATGCAAGAATATGTTATCACGTTCTTATTCCTTGAGACGAAACGAAATCAAGAATATTTTGACTCAATGGACTGTGTTTTTAGAAGGTAAATAGAATAATAGAATAGCATAAAGCAAAGAGAAGAAGAGCAACGTTTCGTTTGACCGTTTCTAGCCGTTCATTTATATTGCACGTGCAGCTTTCATTCGTGGTTTTCTAATGAGTGCGCGTAGTTTTTGTCCCCACTCACTACCGTTACAGAATCGAACGCGGGTTCCTTCTTATCCCCCCCCCTTTATTCCTCAAATAGCTATGCTGCGTTTGGGGGATGGAGAAAGTAAAAGAAGGATGTAAAAAAAATAATATTATTTATTTTACTCCTTTATTTTGCATTTTTTTATTTGAATTGGTGTGGAGAAAGAGTATAAAATAATTTTATTTTTATTATCATGTATATAGATAGTAACTGTTCACGCTTTATTTGTCATTTTAACTCCATCTTCAAAGAAAACTATACAATAGCAAATGAGTTTATTTTACACTCTTTATGAATTTATTCAATAAAATAAATTATTTTGATAGCTGTTATATATTTTAATAGTATTTAACTGTTTTATAAGAAAACATAAAAGCTATATATTATATGCCTAAATTTATATAAGACGCTATTTTAGTCTTTAAAAACTAATCTAAATGATATATTATCTTTATTCCATAATACTTATTACATTTAAAATTTCACATTTTTTGAGACATAATACTTATTACATTTAAAATTTCACATTTTTTGAGAAAATCATTAAATTTGTCTAAGTTATAATAAATTATTGAGTAAATTGACTATATTACATTAATTTAATACTAATTCTCTAAGAAAATTATTAAATTAAAATAATAATTATTGGTAATATACAAAAGGTAAACGTGGAAAAAATATTTATTACTCCTTGAAATCACAAATGTGACAAATATTTTGGAATAAACTATCTTCTCAAATGTGACAATTATTATGTAAGGGAGGTAGTATTACTGAACACTATAAAATATAATATCTCCGTCCAAAAAAAATAGTTTACTCTCTATTTTTACACAAATAAAGATAATTTTATTCATATAACTTTTCTATTATATCTATTTTAAATAACACATAAGTATTGAAATAATAATTAATAATTAACAATTAATAAAGGTTATTAAAAATAAGATATTTTAATAAAAATATAATAGACAATTTAATGGAATACCTTTATTATAATAAGTTAATATTAAATTCTAAGTGATTTTCATTATCTATTTTCCATCCGCTCTTATTTTACGTTCATCCAAACAAAGTATTAAAACAATGAAATCTAAAATCTCGATGTCATACATCCCACATCTACCGACGCGGTGCACGCGCTCTCTGTCTCTCTTCACCGTCAACAACGACAAAAACCTAATTCCTCATTACGCTATCTCTTTCTGTTTCAGTTTCGGTTTCGGTTTCGGTTTCTCTTTCTCTCATTTTCTTCTGTTACAGCTACAAGAAAGCCTCTCTTTACTTTCTGTAGGAAGCTTCTTGTTTTGATTTTTAATCGAATTTTAAATAATTGTCTTTTAGATTTTGTTAGCTTCCGAGCGGCAACCATGCTGACCCAGATGAAACGACATCGCATAGGCTATGCTTTGGCCCCTAAGAAAGTGCAGAGCTTTATCCAGCCTTCCCTCATTAGCCATGCGAATAACCATAACATCGATCTGATCCCTATTGATCCTTCTCAATCCCTAGTTGAACAAGGGCCATTCGATTGCATCATCCACAAATTGTATGGTCCAGATTGGAAGTTGCAATTAGAGCGATTCTCTTTGGAAAACCCTAATGTACCGATTATTGATTCTCCTGATTCAATCGAGAGGCTACATAATCGGATTTCTATGCTTGAAGTGGTGAATCGGTTAAACATCCCTAGAAGAAGTCAAGTTTTGGAGGTGCCTAAACAGGTTGTTGTTTCGGATTCAGAGAATTTGAAGGGAAATGGATTAATTGGGGATTTAGGGTTTCCTTTGGTGGCAAAACCATTAGTGGCTGACGGAAGTGCAAAATCGCACAAAATGTATCAAATTTTTGATACTGAAGGATTAAAGAGGCTAGATGCACCCATTATCTTGCAGAATTTTGTGAACCACGGTGGGGTTATTTTCAAAGTCTATGTGGCTGGTGACCATGTGCAATGTGTAAAGAGGAAATCTTTGCCAGATATATCACAGGAGAAATTGGCCACTTTGAAGGGTGCTTTATCATTTTCCCAAATATCGAATTTGACTGCTAGAGGGAAGAATTCTGGCAATAGTGGTGTAGTTGATCTTGACGAAGTGGAAATGCCTCCAATAGGATTTGTGGAAGAGATAGCCAAGGCAATGAGGGAGGAAACAGGGCTTAATTTGTTCAATTTTGATGTTATTAGGGATGCTAAAGATGGGAATAGATATCTCGTCATTGATATAAACTATTTTCCAGGCTATGCAAAGATGCCAAACTATGAGTCCATTTTGACAGATTTTTTCTTGGATCTTGTGGGCAACAAGAACAGTAAAGAAGTGCTTGCTGGAAACATTCAGGAGACACAGCAAGCAAGCAATATTGGTGTTCAGTAAGGAAACAATGATTGAGTTTGTTCGGCTAATTGGGTTCGGAAGTTTGGATGTCTCCTTGGTTGAAACGATTCTGTCATCTGCTGCCTTTGAAAAGCCTGCTTGGCATTCGTGCTTATTTTGTATATCCTGCCTATCTGCCAAACATAGGTACTTTTTAAATACTTGCAGTTTCAGGAAGGCCAGAGTTTGAGGGGAAAAATCTGTTGCCATAGTTTTTCTAACCTTGTGGTTCTGTGGGGAAATGTTGGAACTTTGATGCAAATTATCATTTCTTCCATATTTTCCATTTTCCTTACTTTAGTTGTCATCTATTGACTTTTCCTTTGAATATCAATCTTAACTGATGCTGCTTGTTTGTTTTCTTATTCTTTAATCTCCTTGAAATCAATGATGGAGAAATGACCTTCTAGACATTTTATAGTTTAATACTAGTCAGCTGATTAGTTTTCCAGAAATTATTTTCGTATGATGATCAATTGTCCGAATCATTTGGTGGTTGAGATTCTAGTTTATGTAGTGGCTGCTTCCTGGTTTTCCTGACTTGTAACATTATTTAAATTTGTGTCTCTTTTTGGCACTTGTATTTGAAATAAAAATTCAGAATCTGCAATTCACGATTCATGGGGCTCTCACCTTCTTTATTTATCTTTTGGAAGATGTGCTTTTTGATAAAGGCCATGGCGTATGCGTATATGTTGTTATATTGAACTGAGAGCTACACGTGGCATCATATTAAATATGTCACTACTATTGTGGAGTGGAACAATGACATAAATCATATTCTTCATATACTATTTACTTGCATTATTTATCACTTTCAACTCGTGGCACTTGTGTATTATATGTGATCAATTCGCGATTCATGGGGCCCTCACCTTCTATATGTCTCTTTTGGAAGATGCACTTTTTGATAAAAGGCCATCTACCGTATCTATATATGTCGTTATGTCAGTTGCATGTTACACATGGCATCATATTAAAAATGTTACTACAATTGAGGAGTAGAACAATGACATAAATCATTCTTCATATGCTACTTGCTTGCATTGTTTATCACTTTCAACTCTTGGCACTTGTTTGTTATATGTGCTCTTGTCGCTTAATACATTACAGTACGTTTGGTAAGTTCATAGGCAACTGAGTAGGTTTATGTAATGTGATATTTGTGGATACTCAAGAAGTGCCATGGAATTAGTTTTCTAGAAATTCATTTTCATGTGATAATCTATTGTCATAATCTTTTGGTGTAAGGGCGCTGCGACATCCAACTCAAATTAAATATATATATATTCCAACTCAAATTAAATATATTAATTATCTACATAATACATTTACTATATATTATAGGTATAACTATAAATATTATAAAGTTCGGGGAAAAAATTTGGAAATCTCCTTATTATCATGGGAAATTTTAGTTTTTTACCCAATTAGAACCCACTACTGAAAAACCGATTAGAAACTCACAATTGTGTGGGGTTGAATTTTGGGTTTTGTCTGGAAGTTTTTCATTAGGTCAAGATATATCTTAAATTTTGAAAACTGTGTATAACTTATCTAAATGATTAAGATATATAAATATATGAAAATATTTAATACAATTTTATAAATCTTATTTTCATCTCTTTAAATAGTAATATCATCCTAAATTTTTCAAGATTGAATTGTGATCAGGTTTTAGAAACTTTCATTCTTTATGGCTCTAATTAAGTATTATAATTCATTAAGTTACTCTCGACTTTGTTACAGATTCGAGAAGTGTAGAGGTGATATTAATGATTAACAGTTTATATATTGAATTTTAGCTACTAACTATTACTACTTTATTTTAAATTCTTGATTTTTTAGAGTAGAGAATAAGTTGGGGAAAAAATTTGGAAATTCTTATTATATGGGAAATTTAGTTTTTTACCCAATTGACCCCACTGAAAAACCATTAGAAACTCCATTGTGTGGGGTTGATTTTGGGATTTTGTCTGAAGTTTCATTAGGTCAAAATATCTAATTTGAAAACGTTATAACCTTATCTAAAGATTAAGATATATAAATATATGAAAATATTTTATACAATTTTATAAATCTTATTTTCATTCCTTTAAATAGTATACATCTAATTTTTCAAGATTATTGATAGGTTAGAAACTATTTTATGGCATCTAATTAGTTATAATTCATTAAAGTTCTCCTGACTTTGTTACAATTAAAAAGTGTATGATATTAATATTAACAGTATTATTGATTTACTACTACTATTACTATTTATTTAATTTTGATTTTTTAGAGTAGGATATATGTTTAAACTGCTATTGGTAAATTATTAGTGATAAATTATTGAACTAATGGCCACACTAGAAAACATTTATAGCTCTGCCATTGATTTGGCGGTTGAGATTCTAATTTATGTAATGGACGCTTCCTGATTTTTCTTACTTGCAACATTTTTGAATTTTGAGTTATTATTTAATTTTGTGTCTCTATTTAGCACTTGTTGTTTGAAATAAAAATTAAGAATCTGCAATTCGTGAATCATGGAGCCATCACGCTTGATATTTCTCTTTTGGACGATGCGCTTTTTGATAAAGGCCATCTACTGTGTATCTGTATATGTCATTATGTTGTTGAATTGCGTGCTACACATGGCATAATATTAAATATGTTACTAGAATGGTGGAGTAGAAAAATGACATAAATCCATTCTTCATTTACAACTTGTTTGCATTATTTGTCACTTTCAACTTGTGGCACTTGTATATTATATGCACTGGATTTGCAATTTATGGGGCCCTCACCTTCTACTTTTCTCTTTTGGAACACTTTTTGATAAAAAGGCCATCTACCATATTTGTATATGTCATTGTGTTGAATTGCATGCTACACGAGCATTATATTAAATATGTCGCTGCAATTGTGGAGTTGAGCAATGACATAAATCATATTACTCATATACTACTTGCTTGCATTATTTATCACTTCCAACTCCTGGCACTTATATATTATATGCTCTCTTGTCAATAAATACATTATAGAATATTTGGTAAATTCATAAGCGATTGAGTATGTTTATGCGATATGGTATTTTTATATACCCAAGAAGTTCCATGGGATTAGTTTTCCAGAAAATCATTTTCATCTGATAATCAATTGTCCTAATCATTTGGTGGTTGAGATTCTAAATTGTGTATGTAATATATGCTTCCTGATTTTGCTTGTAACATTTTGAACTTGGAATAATTATTCAAGTCTCTCGTTTTGGCACTTGTTATTCAAAATAAAATTTCAGAATTTGCATTTCGCGAGACATGGGGTCCTCACCTTCTATGTTTCTCTTTTCGAAGATGTATTTTTGATAAAAGGCCATCTACCGTGTATCTGTATATGGCAGTTATGTTAAATGGCGTGCTACATGTGGCATCATATTGAATATGTTACTACGATTGTGGAGTAGGACAATGACATAAATCATATACTAAATATAATAGTGTTATTTATCACTTCCAACTGCTGCCACTCGTGTATCATATGCGCTCTTGTGGATGAATACACTATAGAACATTTGATAAGTTCGCAGTTGAGTAGGTTCATGTAATGCGTTTTTTATATAATACTCAAGAAAGTGTCATGGGATTCAATATTTAGCTTGTTTCTCAACGATTATGTATGTTGTTGAATGATTCATTTGCATGTATTGGTGTCTCTGTTGTCTCTGTAAATAGTTGTAGAATTAATGGTTTTTGTCTACTGCATATGAAGAGAGGGTGTTTTCCATTGGTCAAGATCTGGATTCCTTTAAACTCTTTGGATATGTTTTCAAAATAAGTGTTTTCGCTGTGTATATGCTATGAATCTAGAAAAAAGTGGGTGCAGTATTAAAAGTGTTGCCTAGATTTCATGCTTATATTATATAGGCAAGTTTTGTCTGCTATATTGGAAAAAACTTTTGTTTTCATTAGTCTGGAGTCAGTTGGACTCTTTGTACAGTTTCAAACAAGTATTTAATCTGTGTTTTCGGTCAATATAGAACAAGGCTGTCTGTCGGTAAGTGTTGCTCTTACTATGTGATATTGGTTTGGTTGCCCAGGGTTGGACATATTCATGAATTGATCTTTATTTTTTGGACAAACCTGAAATTTTGACAGGTGGCTGACTGATCTCTTCTCACTTCCCTCTTCCAACAAAAAGAGAAAATATATGTTGTATGATATTTGGTACTAATTGATGATGTTTTGGAATAGTAAAAACAACTCCGCCGGAGGAAAGTGAAGTTGGGCTTTTGCCTTACATTGCTTTGTTTGTTTGGGATGGTTCTGTGATGCTTTATATTTTCTTTTTTTCTTTTCGCCATCAGGTTGGTCAGTTTTTAAGGCTAGCTAGTTAGGATAAACAAGGGGCGTTTTTTTTGTTCTCATTGGTTTTTATGTTTTCATATATATAAAACTTTTCGGCTACTTCTGAAAACATAATTGAAAGGTGCACTATTTCACCAACAGTTGTTAGAGAACATATCTGGAATTTATCATGAAATTCCCACACAAAATGTTTATCTCTTTTCATAACGCCCTCACAGGTTCCTCTAATAGCTCACTCCATTGCATTGTGCACCACAGAAGAAGCACATAACACAAGGAACTCGTCATTTTATTGTTAAGTCATCTGGAATTTTGTTGACTAGTGTGCAAAATGAGAATTTCTACCGGAATTTGGTAAGGAAGGTTTCAAAAATTTTAGGCAAGGATACATTGTAAATGATTAGTAATATTTAAGAGGTTCAAATGAATATCTATTAGATGATTAGAATGATGCTTTTAGAATGGCTAGGATGCCCTTTTTACATTTGCATCACTAAAACTGGAAAAAAAAAAGTGATTGACATAAAGAACAATAGAATGATAGTAGTTAGGTGGTTCTAGTATTTTCCCATGTGAATTATTCGAATTTACCAAATGCACTCATAAAATATATGCAAGAAGATATTAATACAAAGGTTTATCATGAGTCGGAAGCATTGTTTGCAATGGTGTAGAAATTGGGACACCATGATACTATTAGAAGTGAAGTGAAATTGGACAATGACGATGAGTTATTGAGCTTTCTATTTCAGTGATCCTGTCCTATGAGTTATTGAAAATTCTTGGATTTTAGAAGAATTTGATTGAGGCTGCTTCATGGGTAGCTTGTCTTTGTTTATTGTATTTGCTTGGGGTCCAAGGTCTGCTGCTTTCGATTTATTAATGTAGATGGCAATTCCTTTTGATCTACAGGTGTAATGTTTTCAAAGGAAGGATATGGTTCAAAGATTGAATTTCCAGAAACTGTAAAATTATTGAATTTAGTGGATGGATCAAAACACAGCGATTCTTTTATTCAGAAGTTTTATTTTTCTTGTTTTTTCGCCCCATTTCTTTTTTATGCTAGAAAAACTTGTCTTGATGCTGGAGATTATAAATTCTTTTGGCAGTCCTTATGATATGAGAATTTTATTTTTAAAGAAAATTGACAATGATAATTATAATATGGGTACATCATATTGGAATTTTCTATTCGAAGATGTTTTGGTAGAAGTAGAAGAGATATTGGCTGAATTAATCGAATTGACCGAACCACCCTTAGTTAGAAGAGATTAATCTTCCCAATGGGCAAGATTACTGTACAAAATAATTTTTCTGTATCAATAAAGAGAGTGGTTTCTGCCATTAGATATGTAGCTTGTAATAATAACCATCGGATTAAATTATTAATCAACAACTGGTTAATGGTTACACATGTGAATTTATTTATTTTTTTATTTTCTCATAAATTATAGCTTTTTTATTTAAAATAATTTGTAGAAAAGGGCTTGATCCTTCTCTTTATATTTCTACCGTTTGGATTGAAGAATCATACATTTGCTGAATGTTAGTATTCAAAATCGAGGAGAATTGTAATCTGAAAAGGACTCCAATGGAGTTTGCAACAGCACAAGCAAATTAAATGGGAGTGTCGACTTCAGCACATGCACATTCTTGCGAACGGTATACAAATATAGACATTGAATTGTTGAAGAGAACTATTTTCTTTTTGTTTAAATTTCAACTTTTTTGTCCACCAAAAAATGTCATAGCACTCTAAGTTAGCCTCACAAGAAACCAGCAACGAGTTTTTGACTAACCGATTCTATAACTCAGTTGCCTGCAACAACACCAATAAGCTGGATTTCAAAAGACTTGATCTTAGTTCACCAGTATCACCATTAACGATTCATGCATCTATTAATAATGCTACTAGTACCACGGCCAATTCAAGTAGCAGTTCAAACTCCTCTGGTTCATTTTCCAACAGCAAAAACAGCAATAGTTATACTCAACTGGCCAAAAGCCTGAAAATCACTCCGGTGAAGAGAAAAGTGAAAGGACATATTTAGGTTATAAAAGGGAAGCAACTGGATAGGATTAGAATCAATTTTAAAAATATCAATTTAGTTAAAAAAGAAAATCTAATTTAATCAGTAAAACAGCCCACAATTGTAGGTTAACATAAAATTTCAGAACTCTCTTTTTCCATGTCTAAATTTATTGCTTCTGTACCGATTTCTGTACAGTAGTAAAAGCCTTTCTGAATACTAACAATTTCTTTTTCGATATGGATCTTAATATCTGCAGAAATGCCATAAATTTATGGATTCAATGTTCTTTTTTATACTGTGAGAATAGTGGATTGTTTAGGATATAAAACCAATTTTCGTATAGAATGGTAATAAAAATCTATCTATACGTACGTTGAAGGAAAGTAGTTATGGTAAAATATAAAGAGGAAATCTAACAAAAGCTGCAAAAGTTTGCATTTTTTTCATAACAAACAATTGTGAATCCTTAGGTTGGAATAAATGGATAATTGGCAAGGTAGGTAGGTTAGTTGTTTTTTAAAGGTCAACAGAAAACCTAATATCTCATGGATTCTTTTTCTTCAGCAAGGTTGGATCTTCTCTCTCAATGTCTATTTTCATTTTTTATATAATAAATTTTTTAAAGGGAAGAGAAGTTTATTTTTGTTTTTTTTTTTTTCAAATGGAGGTCAAATAGGTTGAAATATTATCGTGAGTTACATAATACGAGAGATTGGTTTATAGAGAACTCGAACTCAGATAGGTTTCACTCTGTATATCTTTAAAATCAAGCTTTATTTTCTGTTCGTCTCCTATTAAATTTAATGACTTGAAACTACTAATTAAGCTTGCTTATAACAATATTTTCAAAGGTATTAATTCTAGAAAAGCAGATCATTGGATGATAATATATATATATATATATATAAAGAGGAACCTTTTAGGTTTACAAATCTTGAGTTTCTTTTTATTTTTTTCTTCATTTTAATTACTTGTATGTAAAGGAAATGTTCTGTACCTAATTAGTAACAAATAGTCTTGACTTTTTGATATCAAAATGGCAAAATACAAGTAGTAAACTATCTCTTAGTTAATTAACGAAGTATTATTTTCACTTTAAGACTTTATGTGTATATATGTATTTAATGGAGAGGCAGTCTCCAAAGTCAACATCAGAGAAAGACATAATCCAAACATAGTAGAAAACACTCTACCTATGTCTTGGCTTCCACATTCAGAAAAATTAATATTTGACATGTGAATTTAACCTTGCTCTTTCTATTTTTTTTTTTTTTTACTTTATGTGTATATATGTATTTCTAATGGAGAGGCAGTCTTCCAAAGTCAACTCATATATATATATATATATAAAGAGGAACCTTTTAGGTTTACAAATCTTGAGTTTCTTTTTATTTTTTTCTTCATTTTAATTACTTGTATGTAAAGGAAATGTTCTGTACCTAATTAGTAACAAATAGTCTTGACTTTTTGATATCAAAATGGCAAAATACAAGTAGTAAACTATCTCTTAGTTAATTAACGAAGTATTATTTTCACTTTAAGACTTTATGTGTATATATGTATTTAATGGAGAGGCAGTCTCCAAAGTCAACATCAGAGAAAGACATAATCCAAACATAGTAGAAAACACTCTACCTATGTCTTGGCTTCCACATTCAGAAAAATTAATATTTGACATGTGAATTTAACCTTGCTCTTTCTATTTTTTTTTTTTTTTTCAAAAGTCAAACCATCTTCTAACTTAACAACATTATATCTGTCTTTTTCATTTTTCAATTTCGTGTTCTAAACTATCTTCAACTAACTTCTTTTTTATTCGCATTTGCATTTTTATATCTCGCAATTTCGATTTTTCTATCTTATATTGTAATGTAGAAAGTTCATATCACATCCTTACATTAATTTTGGTGGCGCATTAATAGGGAGAAAATTGTTGAAATTAGAGTAATTAAGGAGTACTTATTATAATTTAAGTGATTTAATTGTTGTCTTAATCACTGTATTGGAGTATTAAAATAAAATTATAGATGAAATTGACACACATTGATAATATGACAAATATATTAAATTGCATGTATAAAAAAAATCAAATGAGAAAAAAAAAAAAAAAGTTTACATGAACAATATATTGTTTTGTGCTGTACTAAATTTACATAAATATGGCAACAATGCCTTGTATACTTGTTTGTGGACTATTATTATTATCATTTCTATAAAACCTATTTAATTTAATCCACAATAAAATAGAAATAAAACCTTATAATTACTCATACTGTGCTTAAACCATGAATGTTACTCTGACATTGGCCATAGCTGAGAAGATGCTTGGCTGCAAAACAAATACATTAATTAATTAGTTCATGCTCAGTCAATAATTGAATAAAAAATAAAATCAGTAAATTAATTATACTTACTCCATTATATCTCTCCAGTAATTCTCACTTGCCTCGTCATCCATAAGATCTCCCCAAGCTTCAAATGTGGTAGAAGTAGAAGAAGGATTGGAAATATCATTTGGGTTTTGGTTGAATGCTGTTGGATTGCAGGTATCAGGTGAGGTTGCAGAAATCAGTGGAGGAAGATCAATTTCTGGGTTTGACATTTGAATAATACCACATGAAGGCCCCAATTCGCCGTTATTATTATTATTAACATCGCTGCCCATTTTCGAGTGATCATTACTTAACGGTAGTTGATGATGATGATGATGATGATAATCTTGAGTTTCCAATAAACTTGGAATACTAGGTAAAAAACTAGGTTGTCCATTGCTAGCTAGAAGTCCTTCTAACTGAGAGCTCGTTCGTAGATATTGATAAATATTGTTGGTATTATTAATATTTGCTGATAAAGATTCCATGTTCGGAAGTGGGCTAGTGTTTAGCGCTTGAAGCAAGTTCAAGAGCTGGAGTTTGGCTAGCGGTGTAGGATCTGCCCATGGGACATTATTGATCATGAGATTGCTCAAGTTCGCAGCAGCTAGCAACTGTGGAAGATTTGAGAGGAGGTTTAGATGATCAGTTCTTGGCCTGTGGGTAACTGGGTCTATTCCCATTTGGAGAAGCTTTTTCTTTAGATGGGTATTCCAAAAATTCTTTATTTCATTATCTGTTCTTCCTGGCAAATTTTGTGCTATTGCTGACCACCTGCAATAAGAGGAGAAAAGAACAAAAAAGAACATTAGCATATGAAAAATTGGGAGCTAGTAGAATAATAGCACTCAATTATTCTTTCTCATAATATAGAAAGTTAGAAATTTTTGCAAAAACAATGGATTAATAGAATGCCATCTCATAATAAAAAAAGTTAGAGAGTTTCAAATTCTAATATCCTTCGTATTAATTTGGTAAAATGAAATAGTGATATAAAGGTGTAGCTAATATATAGAAATTTTATACTAGTACATAGATATAATTAAAGAAATCAGAAGTTGAAACCTTGATGGCTCTCTTTTCTTTTTTGGAAAAAAAATTTTAAAATAGAAGGAGAAGGAAGAAGAATAAATTATATTATATACTTGTTTCCAAGAACAGCATGGAGGTTGATGATAATTTGCTCTTCTTCTTCAGAGAACTTTCCTCTTTTAATATCAGGTCTAAGATAATTAGTCCACCTAAGCCTGCAACTCTTTCCACACCTATTTAACCCAGCAAGCTTTGGAAGAGCTCTCCAACTTCCATGGCCATTTTCTTGAATAAATTCAATAAGCTTCTTATCTTCTTCTGGTGTCCAGGGTCCTTTCTTTAGGCCATTCTCATCCTCAGATGGTGATTTCCCCATCATTGATCGATAACTGCACGAAAAAATGAGTTGAAGGACATGTTTTAAAGCTTCCTTGATCAGAAACTAAAGAAAGAAATTAAGAAATCAGTCCAAACCTTAATCAGAACAGAAGAACTGGAGTAATTAAGATGGAGCCGAGGGGAAGAAAGGCAGGATTATTGTTAGTTTCTCTCGAAGAAAAGCAGGGAGAAGCTTTAGCTATATATAGCGAGTGAGTTTGTTTCTGGAAATATAGAAACAGTATAAGATAAAAGGATTTATTTCTTGATGATTGGATGTCGCCTTTTCTATATTTTTGAATTTCCAAATATATCCCCATTGCAAAAAGGCCAACTTCTATATGAGCATCGTTGAATTTAATTAGACTTCTAATACTATATATAATAATAATATTAACTTACGGCTTTATGATAAGACGTGAAAAATTCAAATTTCACTTAAAATGTTATTTTTCTAAGAAAATTTAAATGATTAAGCTTACTATATTACAAAATTTGAAATATTATAATTAAGAGATAATTAATAAGTGCTCTCTAAGTGATTGAGTATTGGTTTTTTTTATTTATTTTTATATCATTCCATTCTAATTTTAAATAAACCAATCTCAATTGAATGTTTATATTATCTTTTATGTTTCCTCAAAAAGAAGAAAAAAAAAATCCTTTATAAGAATTATTAGTACATTCATCAAGAAATGCAAAAATATTATCAGAACGACTTATATATAGGGAAAGATTACTATCATAAAACGACTTATATTTGTAATGAAAGGAAATATAAAACAAAAACAAACTAAGAAGTATATCTTAAGAAAAGATACAGAGTTGAATGTAGAAGATAGAATTATAAGAGTATACGCAAGATATTTGTTCACTTTAGGCAATTCATTCAACTCGAGCCTCTTTAAGATATCTTCATGGTTTTATTTTTGAACCTTCGATGTTGAACTTTTTTTTCAATTCAAAACGCATTACACTTATGTAGATCACTCAACTACTGAATTATCTGATGTGAAATTTACCTGAATCTATACTTACCCGATAATATATATATAACAAATTATTCATATATATACATATAAAATTATACTTGTATAGAAAATGTATAACTATTACTAAACTTGGAAAATATTAAACCTAAGGTTTCAAAATTTTTATCAAGGATGAAATTAGATAATACTTAAAAAAGAGTGACTTTGATTCTATACGTGCTTCATGAAGTGGGGTATTTTGGGGCAACCAACCAAAATATTCAACTTAAAATATAATATCTACGTATACTTGTGTGTTAAAGAAGGCAAATAAGTGCTAGGGCTGCCACCTTCGTACACTTTAAGCTAATAGGTTGACACATCAGCAATTAAGTTACACCAATATTAAGGTTAGGTTTTACACGTGGCATATAATAATAGGGTCAAATATCTAATTTTCTTGAATCAAATAGAGAAGAAACCTCCTTAATAACCAGTATTAAATTTTAATTTCAAAGTTTATGCTAATCATATAAAACAACACGCAAAACTATTCAGTCTTAGTATGGACCCCACTAGACTCTAGCACATTTTATATATATATATATAATTTTAATAATAATAACAGTAAAATGAAATAATATATAATATTAGGATCAATTCTTACATTAGTCAAAGATGTAATATTTACTTATTAAAATAAAGGAAATTCAAAAACTAAAATCTTACTTACAATTTAATTCCAGTCTTAATAATAATAAATACGGTAGATATTAACAAAGTGGGCAAGGATTATATTTTTAAAATTTCTAATATATATTTCCCGACAAGCAGTTATATTAACTGAAATACATAATTATTTTTATAATAAATGATCATATTTGTATCACTGCCATATATGTCAAATTAGCTATTTTGGTTATATTTTCAGATTCTTTTAATTATTCATGCTTATGGTACTAGCTATATATATTTGCTATCAAGTGACAAGTGGCAATAATATGTTATATGTCAAGTGACTATATATATTAAGTTCATTAATTTAGAAATGGGGAAAAAAATTTTGAGATAGTCAAATTTAGAAATGGAAAAAATATTCTTAAAAACTTTAATTTTATATATATGAGAAAATAAAGAATTCTAAATCTGTGGAGTAGTGCAGTCATGAGGATAAAAGCTTATCTTCCTCGTAAATTAAAATTATAAAATTACAAATTACAAATGAAATTAACGTTAGACATGTTGAATATCATTACGCTCTTAAATTACTGTAATAAATAAATGGGATTAACACGAGTGGAAAAAATTTATATTTTTTAAATAAAATATTAAATATTCAATATTTACGGATGGAGAAAATTCTTACTAAAAATGCTCCGACGCGAAGGCTCTAAACGTAGCTAAATGTTACAAGAAAAAAAAAAAAAAGTTGAAAAGTGTGTAGAAATATAATGATTGTGTTTACTGTTTCGGCGACGGCTTTATAGAGCAAGCAAAAAATTTCATCAGTTCCATTTAAGAAAAGAAAACTCGTTGTATTAAAATCATTGGCTAGCTTGACCAAACCAGAACAACCTTTTCATGTTCTTAAAGTCGGATCATATATATCATATATAACGTTAATTTTACAGATTATTTTGAAATTAATAGGACTGTAAATTAAATTCATTTTTATTTAAATAATAAACAGATTTTTCTGACTTATTTATTTTCTAGCAATTAAATTATTTTCATCATTTTGACTCGATTATACTATAATAATCGATTTTATTTGAAAAGAAGACAAAAGAAAATATTGGAAGAAGAAAATATTGAAATTTATTTTATATCTGGCAATATTATTTTCTCAATTCATTCATAATTTTTTCCTCCAATTTAGAGAAATTCTAATTATATATGTAAATTTGGGAGGAAAGTAGTGAATATTTTCTCACCCTGAAAGAGAAAATCCTTTTTCTTGATATTTTCTTTCTTCCAAAAAACTTTTCTTTCCCAAACAAAGGAGAAAAGAACATGGACCATCTAAAATGCCGCCAAGAAAAAAAATTACATTGACTTTGATCTTCAAATTGTAACATCATCCTCATACCAAAAAAAAAAAAAAAAAAAAAAAAAAAAAAAAAAAAATATTTGGGAGGAAAGTAGTGAATATTTTTCTCACCCTGAAAGAGAAAATCTTTTCTTGATATTTTCTTTCATTCGAAAAAACTTTTTCTGTTCCCCAATGACAAGAAGGAGAAAAGAACATGGACCATCGTAAAAATGCCGCACAGAAAAAATTCAAATTGACATTTGATCTTCAAATTGATAACAATCACTCCTCGATACAAAAAAAAAGAAAAAAAAAAAAAAAAAAAAAAAAAGGAAACCATTGGTTGTTTTTCTTTTGGTTCATGGGAATTCATGATAAGAATATAGCAATATAAAGATGTATAGTTAACCAAAAAAAAAAAAAAAAAAAAAAAAAAAAAAAAAAAAAGGAAACCATTGTTGTTTTTCTTTGGTCATATTCATTTATAACAATATAAAATGTATATAACCAACTAATCCTACTCGAGGGTTGCCATTGCACAGTTCATCTTCCCTTTACCAAACAAACCTTTTAATATTTAGCATCTCTTAATTTTCTTTTTTCTTATTATTCTTTCACTGTATTTTACTTTTACTTGCAACATTTTGTTATCAACCAAACATAAACATGACCTGTTGCATGCATATATACATTCTATAGCATCACCACATGCATGCAAGTGTATGTTCAAGTTTAATTATTCAATTGCATTTTATTTATTGCAGTGTAATTTTCAGACATGGAGTTAGCAGGAAATCAAATTATTATGATTTTATTTTCTTTGGTAAATTTGTTGAAAATTATCAAAACATTCAATCTCTATATTCCACATGATCTGTGCAAAGATTTTGGAATTTATTAGTTGATCCCTCTCATTTTAACATAGAGAATTATTTTTCTATAATTTTAAATTTAATGGCCGACAAACTTATTCTTATATTAGACCGAACTTAAAACAGTTCCGGCCAATGTCGGTTTCAATTTATTATCATTTGTAGCTTATTATTACACTCAATTCTCATATATTAAATGCAAGTTGCCAAATGAGTTATTACAAAATTTCGCAAAATGCAATAATGTTAATAATACAATCTATCAAATCAATAATGTCATCATCTGAGAGAAAACAGATATACAAGATAAAATTATTGGTAAGCAGCCAATTAATATCAAATACAATTAGATTATGACGGTCAAGAAGGAGACCAAAAACACATATACTGTTGTTTAAAATAAATTTTATTTTTTGATATTGAGAAATAACGTCAACCAAAATCTCTTGTAGGTCATCTTCGTATCATTGCCTTCAACTTACGTGCAGAGATTTTCAATCACTTCTTTATATATATCATAAAGCCCTCTTTTCTTCTAATTGCCAAGTCTATCCTATTACAAAATGCATGCTTTTTTTTTTTTTTTCTTTCTAATATAAATATTTTAGGTGTGTAGAAAAATTAGAGATTTGCTTACAGAAATTTGTTATTTCAAATCTGAATACTTTCATTATTACTATTATAGAAAATGAACATCAAAGATAAATTACACTGCATAAATCATAAATAAACCATTATTAAATAAAAAAATTGAAAATTGAAATCTTTGTGCTTAGAAATGATCTTAGCAGAAGAAATTAATCTTCTGGGTACAAATGAATTTATTTTTAAATAGGACGATAAAAAAATTTTCTGCAATATTCTGAACATTGTTTTTTAAAAAATTTATTAAAATCGACACCCATTATCAAATCTCCACTATTATTTTTTTTTTAATGAAATAATCTTTATGTGTGTTGTTCTCTCGTTTTAGGAAGAATTTATGTATGATTAAAGTTTAGCGATGTATTTTTTCAATGGTCAGATTAGGATTAGTGGGTTTTATTTAATTTAATTTTTAATGTGTAAGATAATACACAAAGGGTCTCTGTTAATTGGATTACAGCAACAAATGACATCATTGGCCTCACTAGTCAAAATGGGGGTTAAAAAGGTAGTAGAACTTTGCTGGAGGTTTCCTCCAAACCTTACCTCATTATCTACATTCACAAGTCACTTAATTTGTTATTATTAATAATAATAAACAAATCAATAAGTATAGTTATTACCATTCAAAACCTTTTACCTTGTTCATATAATCTTCAATTTCAAATAAGTTATAAATAAAAAAGTCCAGCTGAAAAATTGTACCAATCTACAAGTTTTCTTGTTCAACTTAGTTTCCTTGGAGACTATCCTTGTCTACTTCCGTTGTCTGTATTTCTCTTCCTCAAGGTATTTGCTTGAAAATGGACAACATTAACTAAAGTTGTACCTTTTCAATTAATTAAAAACTGGGATTTACTAGAAGCTTCGTAGTATGTCATTTGCTCATTTTTTACCTGTTCAAGATAGTAGGTTAAAACGGGATAAGGTTGCCAAAATAGTCATTAATTAATATATAAATACTATTAATTTTGTTTATTTTCACTATTTTGACTGTATTATTCTAAAATAAAATACATAACCATTTCCTACTTTAGAACTATTATTTTTGTACCCGAAAGAATTCAACATTTCATGGCTCATTGGTCAAAACCAATTTTTATAAATATACTGAGTGCAAAGTTCATGAACTACTTGATTCTTGAAAGATTTTGTTTGTAATTATATTTTGTCGACCGTTGGTGAGGCTGCCAATTCTTTTGACATCAAACAAAAAATATATATATATAGAGAGAGAGAGAGAGAGGGAAAAAAAAAAGGAAAAATAATTTTATATGGTGCTGCTTTTAATAGATTATTAGCTTTGTTAAACAAGATTATCTAAATAAGATAATTTCGTAACGGTAAAAACTTCGTAGAGCTACAATATTTGACAAAGATGAGTGATTTTACTATAACCGAGAGGCAGAAAAAAAGAATGTAGCTAGAACTGGAAATTTATTTTAAATGTATATATAATTTAATTTATTATATTTTTTGGAGCCTACCAATAGATTTGATTGTCTGCTGTTGTTGACTATGTAAAGTAATTAATTTCTGATTATAAATGTTTTCTGTTTTATGGCTATTAGGACAACCATTTGGGTGTATATATATATATTTAATTGTATTTATATGGTTTATAATTAAGTTGCATGTTAATAAAGGATTAATTGACTGACTTTATACATTTAATAGTTTTAATTATTTAATAAGTATAACTGAAGGATCTAAATGATTAAATTAAAAATTACAAGTACCATTAGACATTTGTAGTAAATTTCATGGATTGGTTTATGTTTCCCAAATAATAATATTGATGGGCCTGGGCCAATCACAATTCAGTCCCACCATACACTCGGGCTTTCTTATATCTAATGGTTAAAGATCAAATCGTGGATCACTCACACAGAGATCATGTACTAATGAAATGGAAATACTTTGATCCATTTGAGAGATAGGCCCAAATACCTTGTGTTGAAATTGTTTAATTAGGCTGTGTAACTAAAATTTAAGTTTATGCAAAATATTTTTTGATTTGTAATGTTTTGGAATTATATTTAATTCCATTAAGCTATTAAATTATCATTTTTTTATCCATTAGGATTCTCAATACCCTGAATAATTCCGCAGTCTACACAATAAAATAATATCTCTTTTTATTCACCAGATCGACAAAAAGTTCTATAGATAAGATGATTTAAATTGAGACTTCTCACTCCTCACGTTAATAAGAAACCAACTAAATATTAATTATATAATAATTTTAAGGAATTAAATATTAACATTGTATTAAACGTGACGGGTCACGTGATAAAGTATCCCAATGTATTTAATCGCAAAATAATACTTTTTGAAAGCTAAATAATTTAACATAGTTGGAGCTTATAGATGAATTAGTAATTTTGCAAAATAATACTATATGTGATAGTAATTTGGAGCGAAATTCAAAATTAAATAATTAATTAGTATTTTTTTATAGTAAAATTTGAAATTTTATGACAAGAAAATATCTACCGATACTTGTGTAGTCTTGTTCGTTGTAAAGATGCTAGAGAACGATCCCCTGGAGTTTAGTTGCCGGCCTTAGAAATTATCACTGATGATATTAATGGGACAATAAACAAATGGCTCTTCTTTTTTGACTTATTAGCCTCCATTTAATATCTCTCCTTATCTCAGCGTTGAAAATGCTTAAATAGTATGCAGGTCGGCGAAGTCCTTCAAGAAGCACCTTAGGACTTATATTATCATGAGAGGCCAACAATCAGTAGAGACGGCGGTTGGCGTTCCGGCCGGTGAGGTATGGGAAGCTTATCGCGGTATTGAGCTTGGAAGACTCGTCGATCAACTACTCGGCGACGTTGTTGGCAAAGTTGAAGTAGTGGAAGGTGATGGAGGTGTTGGCACCATTGTCAAGCTCACATTTCCTCCTGGTAAATCTTCATTTTGTTTTCCTTTCTGCTATTTTCTAAGTAACCAAGATTCAAGTATATGCTTTCAATTTGATGATGAGATTTCTTGAAAAGACCCAAAATTTAATTAATTTGATCAGGATGTATTTCTTAATTTGATAATCCTGTTAGGAACACCTGGAATTGGTTACCTGAAGGAAATATTTAGGAAGATGGATGATGAAAACCGAGTGAAGGAAACAGAAGTAATCGAAGGAGGTTATAAAGATCTGGGTTTTGATGTTTATCGTATTCGGTTGGAGATTATTGAGAAAGATAGAGAATCAAGTATTATCAGATCCACAGTTGAGTATGAGATAGATGATACTAAACCTGAACTTGCTTCTTTTGTCACCACCAAGCCACTGGAGGTTATGGCAGAAACAATTGGGAAGTATCTTATTGAGAAGAAATCCGCTCCATAGAGCCTATTTTCTCCATTTCTCACCATTTATGAGTTTCTCATATGATGTTAATATGGAATTTCTTGATGCTTTTCTTGAAGGATTTTCGCTGTTCTATTGACAAAATAAAGTCAAATAATAGAAGTTTTCCATGCTTTTCTTTGTTAATTCGCATTAGATATATCATTAACTCATTAAGAATAATCTTATCAAGACATAATTACTATTTTATCCCTGTGTTTGGATAAAATTAATAATTGCATCCATGTATTTGGGTCAATGGAAGGGGATTGAGATTGAACCTGATACTGGAGGCGGTGGTCACAATTACAGAGATATAGGTGGAGGAGGCGATAGTGGAGGTGGTGATAATAAAGGAGGACGAGGAGGTGGTAGTGGTGAACGGTGGTCACTTGCCGTTATGTTTCTCCGGTCTTCTAAACCGCCAATTGACCATGATTGCTCTAACCACAACAAAATTTAAAAATATTAAAATGAAGGTTTTATCATGTTTGTAGGTTCTATAATAAGGTTATTTTAGCCTTTTTCACGTAAAATTAACGGAAAAGATGCAATTTTTTGGGTCCAAACCTTAGACATATTTGAATAATTTGATCAAAATACATTGAAGAAGTTACTAATTTGATCAAGATTAGGGATGAAATGGTAATTCTTCTTTTTATCAAGTAAGCTAAATATATTTGCATGAACATATCCATTCAATTTTCTTCATAACACAAACTTTCAGTGATTAAATGTCCTGAAATTCCTCCAAGAACAGTAGCAGAGTTGTAAACTAAGCAATACTAATTCCAAAAATAAAATTCTCCATCACAAAAACAATATTTCATAAACAAATTTTCATTTTTCAAAAAAGAAAAATATCAAACGAAATTAAACTAGCTTTATTTATTATAATTACAAATTTATTGCAAAAATTTTATTGATCCTAAAAAATAAGAGCACGACGTGATTTAATCGATGCCTCCGAGATCATATAAAAAGAGTTATTAACAAAAAGTTTTAGTCCTAACTAATAAAAGATTAAAGTCCTAATCAAAATGAAAATCGAATAAATAATTTTTCAATAAAAGTCATATATAGGGTAAGCAAACTTTGGAGAAAAGGCTGAAAACGAAATTATTTACTGTTTTTGTTCGGTTATTTGATTTTCGGTTTCGATTCCAATTTTCAATATATCTTCCAATTTTCTGTTTCAGTTATTTGATGGATGTTTTATATAGAGCTTCACAGGCTTCGATTTATAAGTGCGATATAATGCTAAATAGAGAAGAGATAAACTTAAAAATAAAAGGTTTTTGAAAAAAATCTATTGTTTCTTGACATTATTTACAAATTTAGCTACGAAAGCAACATGAAAATAAAGAATTCAAATAGTTGAGCTCAGTTAATTTTGGGATTAGGGTTTGGTATGACCTGCAGGGAATTGTGGTGTACAAGAAATCCAGCTTCTCAGCTGATATACTTGCCAATTTGGCGGGTCCCTTTCCTTTGGGTGTGTTCGTGTTTTTGATTCTCTATCTTGCCCCTACCTAAGAAAAAAATAAACATTTTCCATACATCTCATGTGCTTCTCTTCCTTCCTTGACTTCCTAAACATATATAATAGTAAATTGATTTTTTATTGAAATATATACAGTATATACGTATACATGTAGGTCATTGACCTAATAAAATTTCTTTTATAATCATATGTTGTAATCAACCCACGACAGGAATCTTCACAGCACAACTACCAAACAAATTCTGTGCTAAAACATTTTGTCCTTATATACGACTTTTGTACACAAGAAAACAGATAGCTTAGGTTCTCTGCATTAGAACACCACTCAAACAGAACAAGACAATATAATTGAAAAAGAAAGAAAAATATGAAAGGGCAACTTTCTCATGAGTTAGAGGTCAGTGTATCAGCAAGTGAAGCTTGGAAACTCTATAGCACACTAAAATTAGCAAAACTTGTTGAAAAAGAGCTTACTATAATCGACAAGATTGAGCTAGTTGAAGGTGATGGAGGAGTTGGGACTGTAATTGAGCTTGTATTCATACCAGGTACCATTATAATCTGCATTGCAAATAAAATTTTCTTGGTCTTGTTATTCTTTTTTGTTTTTTGGTGTAGGGGCACCAGGATTCCCAGGCTACAAAAAGAAGTTCATAAAGATAGATAACGAGAAGCGTATAAAAGTAACAGATGTGGTGGAAGGTTGATATCTGGAGTTAGGATTTACTCTGTATAGAGTTCTGTTTGAAGTAACAGAGAAAAGTGAAGATTGTTGCATTATAAAATCCACCATTGAATATGAAGTCAAGGAAGAAGCAGTAGCAAATGCTTCAATTGTCACCATCCAGCCATTAGCTGAAATTGCAGAAATTGCTAGAACTTATCTTACTAAGAACAAATCCACATCTGTGTAAGAAGCAGAGCAACAACTTAGCTTAGCTAATAAAAGAGAAGAAATCCTGTCACCGGATATCCGTTCTCCACCGCACTCCTTTCCTTTCATCTTTCATTACATTTGAATTTTTTATTATACGAAATTATGAGTAAAGTTATCATTATATTATATATTAAATTGTAAACATGAATTATATGATTATATAAACACTTCATATATAGAATATTCTTATGGGATTCATGCAGAGATCCCTGCTAACATTGTAGGTTCGGTATAGTGAACTAGTGAGAATGCATTTTTCAACTCCATTCAAATCCTTTTCTCCCAATACTCAAAAAACAAATAATAATAAAAGAACGAAAGGATAACTCTTATGTCTCTGATTCAAGAAAATTTTGCCATAAACACTTCAAAAAGAAATGATATGAATCTAAAAAATCATAAGCAAGTTGAAAACTACAGTTAAAAATAAATATCTTTTTAATATAATTCAAATTATTGAACATAAAAAATAATAAAAAATAGAAATTTCTTACAAAAATCGTATTTCGTTTCTATTTCTACATCTAACCTAACATGAAAAAAACATAGATATCAACAAAGTTTGCTCCAAGGGCAGGCCACACCTGCAAAATCATCATTTGCAGTTCCAGGCATTTGCAAGTTTTGACCAGTGAAATATCTGTCTGAATTATATCTAGTTCCCAACTTGCTTATTTCAGCAACATTTAAGAACACAACTAAGTTGTACTGTTTTCACTTTTAGATGGTAACAACTTTTGCCAGACCTAACAACCAGCTCCAATGGTTTCCAGGCTGGTCTGAGAGCTACTCAAATATCGACAATGTAAAGGGTTCAAGAGTTGGAAGAAAGAAGATGAAGAGCATAGCAAACCATAATAGACAAATAAATCAAAGGAAAGCAAAACGAAAATTTGTGGGATCTGAAATGATTGAGACTTTTAGCAAAGATTTTGATAATTCCATCAACTTGATATGGTGATAATATATGTAAAAGTAGAAGGGAAAATTTCTTACACTCAACTACACTTCCCATTTCGACAGCGAAAAGAAATTCATACAACCTGGAAATGATGTAAGGCCTTTTAGAAACACACAACCATCCAACTGCAAGTGGATAGACTATTTTACTAATCAACAGCCATGGCTTCAGAGCCACCACTGCCATCCTCCATCCCATTTTTCTGCTCTTCTGCTGCCATTCTCATCTCCTCAATCAAATTCTTCTGGTCTTCCTCTATAGTGTTTTGCAGCTCATCAACCTGCAGAAATGTTGTACACAATCACAAAGAGAGCAAAAGGAACCAAACCTATATTAATATGTGGTCTAGTGAGAATAGATAGAGCATTTTATAACTTTATTACTGTGTAAAAGTTAATACATGTAGGAACATAAATATCAATTGCATAGGTTAGTTAAGTTAAAACTAAATGCAAGAGTCATGGATCAGCACCTGTGGAAAATATAATAGAAATATGTGTGAGCTGCTAATGAACTTCTTTAAGAAAAAATTCCAGGCAGTCATACTATTGACAAATTGAGAAAAAAATCTTTTTACTGAAAGAACAAAGGAAAAAGAAAACAAAGGGGAAACCTTTTCTGAATTCCTTTCACTTCTTCTTCCTTGATGCAATGCACGCTCTTAGAAATGGTTTAAACGATGGAATGCAAGTGTGACTCATTTATGCTCCACACAAATAACACAGTAACATTAGATCATTCTTAAATTCAGATTCTAGAGGTTTCTTTTTAATTGTGTAAATATCAAAACTTCATTTTTCCAGCTTAAGTCAAAGGTACAAATGGAAAAATAAAAAAAACAATATGGCCGCTAAAAACATGAAAAAATATTTAACCAATGGAGACCTGCTACAAGGAACAAAATGCAACAAAGTCATACAGGAATAATCAGTCATAAATCAAGAGACTTTTAAAACATTTGACAAAGCATCACAACTAAAAATGACAAGAGAATAAGTGATCTTATAGGAAGTGATAAAGTCTCAGAACAGGAACTTCAAATGGCAAGAGAAAAGCAAGAAATTTATTACAAGTTCGCAAAAACTAAGTAACGACATTATAAAGCAATTCAAATTGTATGAAAACTGCCACATACCACATGCAATAATAGAGCAAACTGTTTCTTGCGAAGCTCCAGCAACCGAGAACCAGCTGTATTCTCTGCCTCCAATGCTGCAATCTCTTTCTCTAATTCCTGTATAATCTTTTGAGTCTCTGACCTAGGTGGCTGCATAGCAATCAATTTCCTGATCGCCTCACACTCCTCCTTGTGCTGCCTTTCAATTTTACTCTCCTCCAGCTGTTTCTTCAAATCCTCAATATCAGCCTGCGCCTGCCCAATCTGGCTATTTATCTCATCCATTAACTCATCAAAGTTCCCTTTCTCCCTCAAATTAGCATCAATAACAGCTTTACTCTTCAACAATGGAATTTCAAAAGTAGAAAGCTCTTGCAAGAAGGCTTTAGAAAGCCTAATACAATCATTAAAATTATCATCATCTTTCTCTACCTCGACAACAAATGAGGTGAACTTCTTTTGAAGCTTCTTTAATGGAGGTTCACCTCTTGTAGTGGTGGTGCGTGTTAGAAGTCTATGCTTTATGATTATGTCATCTTCTAGTGCACTAAATGCATAGTTTGCTGCTACAGTTTCTCCTCTACCAGAAATTTTCCTCCCTTTCAACATCTAATACAGTTCAATGTAATCTGAAATCCTGTGTAATAGAAAGAAATTCTTTAAAAAGATCCAAACCAATAAAAGTTCAAGTCTTTTATTGACAGAACCGTTGAAAATAAAGAAAAAATTTCATATGATTTAGCACAGATTTTCGACTTCAAAATAAAAGCATAAGCAACTACAAAGATGTTACCTTTCCAAGCGAAGAAGCAAGAACCCTAACGCAGATGTTACTGGGTTAACTCGGTATCAACTCGGATTTGAGTCTGGTTTTACCCTTTCCACTTTCCAGGAGTGAGCGTGAATGAAGTGCGAGATCTAAATGTCTAATGTGTGTGAACATTTCTATCCGCTATTGGGCTTTTCGAGTCCAGTTTTGTCCAAATGGATTGATTATAATTGGGCCTCACTCATTAATGCAAAAATTAACTGGTCCTTGTGCAAAGGCACTAACCGGAGCATCTTTAGCCGCATCATTTAAATGCCCACACTGACTGAGAGTGAAGTAAACTATCTAGAAAGAGTATTACAATCATGAACGGAAATACCAAAATAAGAAAAATTCTCCGTATTCGCTTGCTCGAGTAGCAAACAATCCATTTCTACTATTATTGGAGTGTGCCCATATTCTGTCTTTAGCCAACTCCAATAGCTTCTGCCAGCAATGGAGTTGACAACCTTCCTATAGCTCGACTTCTTGCCTTAACAAAATATTGTTATGCCATATTTCCATATTTTCCATAATTATTGATAGTTGAAGAATATGAAAATATTGTTCCAAAAATTATATTAACCATATATATATTAAATCAATATTTTATATATAAAAGTGAAAAATTCTAAAAAATATTGTTGCTAGTGTGGAAAGATATGCAATGTTCTAAAAATTCATAACTTTAAGGATACATTTATATAAAAAGTTTTAGTTGTCAAGAGATTTTTTCAGATAAATAGTATTTGAGTGAATTTATGTATTTTGCAGATCAATAGGTTTGGGAATCTAACACATAAAATACTTGTTATTTTTTTCTTCTTCAAATTATCAATTAGTGTTATTATCAATACTAAAAAATTTACAATTTCTAAATTAGAGAGTACATAATCAAAATTTATTGTCTAGATATTTGAAAATAATGACATTTTTTAGGTGAATTTTTCATAATTTTGTACGTCTTCGTTGTTATTTAATGTGTTTATTAATTTTAATTTTGCCCACTTTGATTAAATTTTCTGACTTCAGTAGTCTTTATAGGAAATAAAAAGACCTATTGCATCAATTCATCAAATAGATCGAACCTTAATAACATTTTTTTGTTTTTGTTTTTGTTTTTGTTCATCTACAATAAAAAAGGGTAAGTAAATCAACAAGCCAGGAAAGAAATTAGTAATGTTAATAATGTATATTACATCAGGGTCCAGCAAGCTTTAGTTTTGGGATTCCATACAGCTGGGAGCAAGAACTTCTTGCCTCCCGATCCATGGGCATTGAAACCACCACCAGTAGAAGGATCGATTCTTATTTTTCCGGCATAGCCAGCCATTGCTCCCTTTCCGAAAACACCTTTGCAAGCTGTACCAGCCTCAATTTTATTTTTCTCCTTCTCTTGGTAGAACCCAGACTCTTCTGGGTTGGTCACAAGATTAACTAGTCCCTGTGCAAAGGCAATAACCATAGCATCTGCACCCACATTGCCATTTGGTGGGTTCAATGTCATGCCTACTAGTCCAGTGTCTGCCTTATGGAACGGCCATGCACAAGCTCCGGGACATTGAACTTCTGGGTTCCCCACTACAATGTATGGAGTCTTTTCTGCAATTCCAAATATTTAAAAGAAAGATTAAGGTTTTTTATTTAAAATTTCAATCTTAATAATTAATATAATAGGTACCATAAACTCCACGCAGTGAGCATTTGCCGGCGCACAGGCCTTGCATGGTGACGTCCTTAGCAGTGAAAATAACTGGATATGCTTTAGGGTTTTCTGCGATTGCTTTTTGTATGAGAGGCTTGACAGTATCCATAGCAAGAGCTTTTCCCACTGAGTTATTGACATCGGTTATTTGCCTGACGACTCTAACGTTGAGACGGCCGTTACCTTTACCGGCAACTTCTTGAAAGCTCTCAACAATTTTCCACCATTCGGACACTTGCGGCTGTAAATTAGCAGCTGCATTATAATTCAAGGATTTAACAAATGTTCTAAGAATATTCTTTTGGGCACGGCCAAATTGACCATACCATACGAAAACTAGGTCTACGTTTCCGGACAACAGACACCCATGATGATAGGTTATATCTGCGGTGGTGGTGGCAGTGGCGGTGGTGCTAGCTTCCATGCCAGTCTCCGTTTCAGTATCTGTTGTTGGGGCAGCATTTTGTTCGCCATCGCTGAAACACAAAGGGAAAAGCAGGAGAAAAAAGAAAAGAAGCGGAATACAGCGATTTGGCGAAGCCATGAATAACTGTGTCATTTTGTGCATGTAGTGATTTTATAGGTATAACTTAGAAATTTTGTATGGATATGAAATGGATGAACAAGATTAAAACCACTCTAATTATAGTTTAGAGGCTATATTATTAGTGGTGCATCAAACTCCATTGACTAATTTAATTATGTGAAATGAAATTATTGTGAGGAAGATATGGTAGAGACAATCATATAAATTTCCAATATATATATTCCCCAAGTATGGGGACTTACATTTTCTTTTTTTTTTTTTTTTTTGTTAGAGACAATCATATAAATTTCCAAATTATATATTCCAATATGCGGACTGACCATTCCTTTTTTTTTTTTTGTTGGCTTGCATGGTAGCAATAAGCAATTATTGCCTATATTAATATTCCTAAATTAATAATCAGGGTTAAAAGTCATGTAGATGATATATGTCTTACATTTTTTTTTTTTTTTTTTTTTGGCTTGCATGTAGGCAATAAGCAATAGTTGCCTAATTAATATTCCTAATTAATTAATCAGGGTTTAAAACATGGAATGGATATTATTTGGTTAACTTTTTTACTATTATACTTTAAAATATCGTTAGTTTTGATCGAGCTCAAATTCTTATGAAGCCGAAGCAGATCACTTTCGAGTACCACACTGATCATATTTTATTTCTACCTAAATATTTTTTTCACATGTCAAATGCAGGAATCCTACACTGAACTCAAGCGCAAATTACCACTTGAGTCATTCTTTATGAATATCTTCATAGAACAAAAGGAAATTTCTCTTTTATTAAATTGCCATACAATATCTAGAACATAAATATATGTTAAATCTGGAATCTCATATGATATGAAATTCACTCCTGTTACTAATAATATCATTATGTTATAAAACACAACTTGGAAGAATCAATAGAGAGCAATTTTCCTTCTATAAGAGTCGGGACAACTTCTATTACATATATGTTGAGGTGGACAGAATGAAATACAAGTCTGGGACAGTAATTAAAAAAAAAAAGGTGATTTTTTGAAAGAACATATAGAGAACTAATACAGGACTAGAAGACATAATTTTATAACAAGTTTCTTCCAACAAAATAAGCATATTACACACATTCATAACTCGTACACTCAGTTGTGAGATTTTTCTTGTTTTGAATTGATATAAGAGAATGAGTTTCTTTACATTTGGGCCACTTCGGCTTCTCTTCATTCTTACATAGCCTTTCAGCTACAGATTTAAAACCACTCCTCATGTAACTCACGACAGCTGTTACAAGCTCTCTGCAAAATATCATCAAACAGCAATCTTCAGCATTAACAATTCCAGATATGATTTTGGATGAAGCAAACAGAGAAAATAAAAAGGCGTTGTAAAGCATCACACTGCGCCTCCACCAGAAGGTCAACTAAAGATACTTAAAAAAATCCAACATTGGTTGCTTTTTCTAAAACCAGTTGGAAATATGGGCTTGGCCACAACCGAGAAGAAAGAGGGGCAACAAGAAGTGTAAAACACCTCCTGCGTCTTGACCCTGTTCCACCCCACAGCTTTTTACGTTATCAGGAATTTACACTTCTAAAAGGCCTATGCTAATGCTACCAATAAGGCAATGCTAAGGCACGCTCACATGGAAGTAACTCGAGGTATTTTTAACTGTCTGCAGAGTCATTTAGGTTTAATAAATTTTGCTGGAATATTCGTAAGTTTCATGTTCATCATTCTTAATCAGAGGCATAAAATGCAATTTAGAACAAAAAAAAAAAAAATAGATAAAGTCCGTTCTACTTACAATGGAGAGCATGGAGAACGACCGCCATTTACATAGTACACAAACAAGTACGAGTCATAATACTGGCCATTGATTAGATAAAAGCCTTGCAACCTCCTTATACACTTGAATGCCATTTTTTTATATAAATAAATGGCAGGATTATTGTAAGAAATCACATGCAAGTAAACAGCACGGCATATTGGTATACTTGAAGCATATTTGATAACTTCACGAATAAGAGCAGTTGCTGCAAATTCAACAGGCAAATGATCAATCAGAGTAAGTCTCAAGTTCTGTTGGAAACAAGAAAGTACTTTTGAGAGAGAGAGATTCCAACCTATCCCGAGGTTTCTGTAAGTTTCTACCACTCCAAGTGTCAAAATGTACACTAGTTTTTGATCTGGTTTTGAGGGATCATACCTAAGTAAGTCCCCTATCTGCAGTGCAGGCAGAAGTTGGGTGACATAAATCACAAAAGAACAAGAAGCATAAATTATCATCATTAGATGAAAAGAAACCATATGTATCGATAGTGCAGAACTAAAACTTGAAATGTAGGCTACTTTCAAGCACTCTACATGTCATACGGGAGTCATGCAATTAAATTGTTAACACAACCATAATTCAAATTCAATCATGAGGTAACGTTAAAATAGGATGAATATTTGTTTGACGAGGATCTCTGTCTGAGTTGTCACCAAATATCTATCTCAATACAGTCATAATAAACTCAACTCTCCTAGGGAATACTTCATGTTAGGCACTGAATCACACAAATATGCAAATTTTGAAGCGACCAACAACTAAGTTTTGCAATCCCATAATTCAAATACAAGGCACAGATGTAAGCCTACCCTAAAAAATGTAGAAGACCCACCTCACTTTCTTTTGCCAGCACAATACGTGCGGTAACAAATCCAATAAGCTCATCACTGTTACCATTTGGTCGACTACGATCAACAGCTGCCCAGGACACAATGTCACGTGCATTGACAACATTTTGGAAAAACTCTGATTCATACCTGAAAAGAGAAATGCATTTTTTATGAAAGGCAACTAAACCTTTGAAGATCATAACATGCTAGAAAAAGAAAGGGAAAAAAAACATTTTTAAGCAATCCACCTGATAGGAAATACATCTGCATGGAGTCGCTCTAAAATCTCCAAATCAGAGGGCCGTATAGGCCTGTAGCATATAGTTGGGCGGTGGGAGATTTTAGGTTGTACCATTTATTGTTTTGCTATCAATCCCCAGCAAAGATATGGTAAATTTGGAAGAATTGTAAATGACAATTTTCCATTTATGCCACATGAGTCACCATCTCCATGCAGGAGTTGCTGGAAACTGAGAAAATCATCAGTCCTTTACAGTAGGAAAATACACTCACGTGTTCAAAAGACATAGGCACGAAGAGTCAAAGAAACTTGGACAAGAAGCACAAAACAGTATCTAGAGATGCCAAATAGGAAAAATATAAGAAGTAATGGCTACTATTAGCTTCAGAAGATGGAAAGCCTAATTTAATAGTTCCTTGTTCCTGTTACCAATATGCAGCCAACATGTTGTAACTGTTAATATTCTAGTTGATTGGCTTTAGTGTTTACATGCATTCAAATATTATGCAGCTACTGGCATTAATCCACAAATTACCGACATGTATCATGTCAAATTCATTAATGAATTCATAGTGGGGGTCAATACCATCATTAATCATTAATTTATAAAAGCAACCACACAGAGAAAACTCTATCAGAATATTATTAGCAAAAGCAAAAGTAACCATTCAGCAACTTCAACTGTCAAGCTTCTGAGCAGCTAAACAACAAAAATCTTTACTTTGGACAAAATATAGCACAAGTTGTAAAACATGAATTGCAATATCAATGAGGAACTATCATATCCATATATAATCTCCTTTAGAAGACTTTTTCTTGTATAAGAGCCAATTAGCAGTCAACAACAAGATTATTGTTTGCCATTTTACAGGCCAATTACTGCATTTCCAAGCTCAAAAATAGAATTGAAAGTGAATGATATTTTTTATTTAAAAATATTACCTTGGCTGACTCTTCCTATGACAATGAGGCTTCTGAAATCACCAATAGAGTTTCTTTACAGGTGATCTGCAAAAGTCAGCCAACCAATTAAATCACCAATAGAGTTTAAAGTACTGTTATATGGTAATGCAACCAGAGCAGATTCTAATAAACAAATAGCAAACATAACAAAACTTAACTAACTCTACTTTCCAAACATCAGTAGCCACTAAAGACACTAATTCAAAGGAGAGATCAGTGTTGGAAATGTATCAATCCTTCATTGCAGAAATAAGATGACTCTATATAGTGAAACAGAAAATTTCTTTTACTACTTTATAGATATTGCAATATATAGCAACTAAAACCCATACTGTATCAACCTAATGGCATATGTATCTGTGCTAGTTAATAACTTTGTCTTATCAAATTAAAGGAAAGGCAAAATCTAGATCCTGCATCACTGGTATGCTTATTAAGCTTACTGTGCAAGGAAGTGTGTAGGAAAAAGACACCACTATTTTAATTGGAGAAAGAATTGCCCTTATATATGACCTGTTAAGTTACAGAACCAAATGGTAAACAAGAATGACCTCATTTCACTGGCCATGCACCAAATAATAAACAAATCTAAATATTTAATATGGTTCAATCATCCCCAAATTCCAATGATAAGAATCCAACAACTATTCTTACAATTTCAGATTTCATTAAGCTGTAAATTTCTTGTCTCCTACTAATTTCCCTTCTCTTCATTTCTCCAGCTACTTTGTTAATCTAGCCAACTATTGAATTTGACATGGCTCCACTATTCACCAATTTCCATTGCTAATGAAAAAATAAATTGCCTTATTCAAAATAATCCATGAGCATGGATTAGATTACACATGAATCCATTTTATGACCAAAGATGATGATCATAAGAGAGGAGACAATAGATATCTAGCTGCATAGCTATTGTTCACTAAAACCACTAACATCCCAACAATCTTTCCATTTCATTCATATGTATTACCATTTAGAAAAGAAATACTAAAGAAAATGGGGAAATACGTTGAAAAATGACAAAAAATGGACCACACATTATATTTTAACTCCCAGAATTTAGGCGACATCAAGAATCCAGGAAAAAATGTTGACATGTCAAAATTGAAGCTAAAAGATTTGTGAAGTTATCATATGCCATGTAATCAGACAAAGAATCAATATCATAACTTCAAATGTGAAAATAAAAAATAATAAAAATAAAAAAAACCAATAAATATCAGTCACAAAAGTATATCAATAAACATCGAAATATTTAAATACTTTGGTGAGAAGTTAGTAACCTTGGCTAAAAAGCATGAACAGTTTATAAAATCTAAAATTAATCCAACTAATATGAAAAGCAATAAGCAACTGCTTTAAAAGTTAATCTTGAAAGTACAATACATCATTTAAGACTAAGTTTTATAAATTATGCCCAATTCAATCGTTATCCATCCTCTCAAAGTATCTTTCAGAAAAATCTCAACCAAATGATAATAACTTGAAGTTCTTGCAAAAATCTAGAACTCACACAAAAAAATTATAAAAAAAAAAAAAAAAAAAAAAAAAAAACGTTTATAAATTATCGCCAATTCCAATCTTCATCATCCTCTCAAAGTATCTTTCAGACAAAATCTCAACCAAATGATAATAACTTAAGTCTTGCAAAAAAAATCTAACCTCACACAAAAAAATTATAAAAAAAAAAAAAAAAAAAAAAAAAAAAAAAAAAAAAAAAAAAACTATCATTAGAATCGAGAAAAAAAAAAAAAAAAAAAAAAAAAAACTATCATTAGAATGAGATACAAGCTCCCTAAATATTTCATAGCACAAATCAAGAGACAAAATCAACTAATTCCAAAGAAATACCCATTAAGTAAATAAATTAGAGAAATTTAATACCCAAAAATTGCTAACTTTTAAAGAACAAAGGAAAGAGATCTCAGCAGAAACCAACCTCATTCAGTGGTTTTGGAGGGGTATCGAGAGAGAGAGAGAGAAGAGGGAAAGAAAAAGGAAAAAGATGTGTATTTGGGAATTGCAAATGGAATTTTAGTTTTCTTTTCTGGGTTTTGAAAGGAATCGAATGCTTTGCTTTCCTGGAAAAACTGGGTTCGAAATCTTGTTTGAGACGAGAAAGGATCTTTTTCGGTAAAGGTTTCTTCTTTGATTTTTTTGCAATTTCTGGGTAGACTTGACTTTCTGTTGATTTTTACTATGATAACGAAAATACCCCTCGTGAAATTTTTGTCATGAGCGCTTTTGCCTTTGATCATCAAAGAAAACAATTTTGCTGGTTTGACTGTGTAAGCAAACCGAAGACGAATCAATTGATAATAATGAGTTCAATAAAAATAACAAATCTTTTTTTTTTTCAAGATAAAAAACAAAAGATATCATCCTTAAGACAAATCTTTGAACGTACAATCTAATTTCTATTGATTTATTTCTAAAAAAAAAAAAAGAAAATCCTAGTAATCAAGTTTTTTTTTTCTTTAACCTCTCTCAAAATGGTAACGTTCAAATGGACCAAACCATAATGATTGAGATTGTTCATTTGGAAAAAAAAAAAAAAAAAATTAATGATTGAGATTTTCATTTTTTGAAATAAAAATAAAAAAAGAAGAATAAATTCCCGTCACTACTATACATTCCGATTTAATTAACACTAGGTATGTCCCAGGTTTTCTCAGAATTGTTGTTCATTTGGAAAAAAAAAAAAAAAAATTCCCGCATACTATACATTCCATTTTAATTAACACTAGTCATGTCCCATGTTTCTGCAGAATTGCAATTTTATTATATTATTTTTATGAATTTAACTATATGAATTTAATATTTATATTTTTATCATTAAATTTTAAAATTTTAAAACATAAACTTTATTTATTTTTATGTACTGAGTGCAATCAATAATTAATAATCTTAAAATAAATTTATTATATTAATTAAAATTTTTAATTTATTTTTTTAGTAATTAAACATACACTATATTTATTGCTAATGAAAAAACCCTTCAGTATTTTAATAATTATACATTTAGGTTCAAATTTTTTTAGTGTTTTTTTCCTTTTTATAAATTTATAATAATATAAGAGAAACTGATTTTGAAATTTTTACAAATGAAATGTTGAATAATATTATTAATTTAATTTTATTAATTATTAAAAAAAGAAGAAACTACAATTTTTTATCATTTGAAATAATATTAATGATTAATACTTTAGTTAATTATTGAAAAAAAAATTGAAAAACGTATGATATTATTAATGATATTAATATTAATGTTAAATCAGTTGGAACTTGAAATGACTTTTCATATTTTGGTCTTCTTGATTGAGACTGTAAATTGATTCTTTGGTTGTCTTAATGATATTAGCATCCGTTGGGCTAGGAGACAAATTTGGGATGTTCTTCTAAAATGTTTGTTGTCTATTGATTCCGTTTTTTTTCTTTTAATGGCAGAATTTGTTATTTAAAAAAAAAAAAGAAGGAAAAACTCATTAAAAATAACACAAAAAACAATTTTCTTTGTCTACCCATTTTTCATATTCACTTTACAAATTTCTAATAGCATAACGAAGTACGATATTGAAATTTTATTAATAATAATATTATTATTAAATAATATTATTAATTTTTTAAATCATTAAAAAATTGAAATTTTTATAATTTAAAATAATATTAACGTATTATTAATTCATTAATTATTGAAAAAGAATTGAAGAGCATTTGATATTATTAAAAAAAATGGGAAGAGTTTTGGTATTTAAAATAATATTATTAATACTATAATTATTTAGTTAATTATTAAAAAATAGAAGAACATTTAATATTATCAACGATATTAATTTTAACTCAATTAACATTTGAAAAAATAAAATTAAAATATTTTTTAATGATTTTTTTACACTGGATGATTTTTTTTTTTTTTTTAACTAAAGAAAAAGATGAGATTATAAAACAGAACAAAAAAAAAAAAAAAAAAAAATAAAACAGGAACAAAAAAAAAAAAAAAAAAAAAAAAAAAAAAAAATTCACTCTTCAATATATATTCTGATGCCTAAATATTTACTACGTACAAATATCAGACATGTTTGTAGCTTTTGAAGCTCAAAGCACCGCACCAGTCATGAATCGATGGTTGAGTACTGCATCAGCAATTGGTCGTTTCCGGTAGTCAGAATTTAGCATTGCCTACACAGAGAGAAAAATAGTATTTTAACTCATGACAATGCACTTAGATATAAAGTATCATGGTTTCTATTACAACATAGGAATTACAGAACTGAGAAGAATACAAATCAATCATGAAAATTAAACTAAAATCCAACCTGAAGTAATTGCCAACCGGCCCCATCACCAAGATCCAGAAACTTGACAGCTTCTTCCAAGCGATCATCTGCTAAACAATACCTGCATCAGATAAAAAAAGGGAGAAAATGTAAGGAGTTGAGGGCATAACAATATTAACACCACAAGAACACTGTTGATGCAAGGTCTTAGCTTGTGAAGCATGATAAAGTGGGAAAGTGTTTTTTATTTGACCTGTGCACAATTATCACATTTTATCCTAGTTTGGCATGCGAAGCACCAAATTATGAATTTTTGCAAGATGCCTTTGGAGTATTAGATATGTAGTAACTACTTAGTTGTATTATGTTTTTTGACACTACTGTTTTAGTTGCTGTTGAGAACATGGCTATGTTGAAACTGTTGATTAAAAGGGCATTAAAGTTTATTTTTAAGGTAAGTTTCACATAATCAAATAATTAAAAAATCCACTCTCATTCCGCTCCTAGGCTTACAAAAAGATGCACTCCAACTTGAAAGCCTGGAGAGGATTAGGGTAAGCATGGTCTTACTCCTGTCTGTTAAGAGTCTATATATATCCAAATAGCTAACCACCTTTCAACATGACCATTCTCTTTATGAATCTAATAGTTGGTTCATGATATCATTAACTTCACTAAATAATAAAGAGCCTACACTTCTGAAGTGTGTAAATTAAAGCGCAATACCTAAATGATCCGGAGAAGTTTACTTAACTAATGTAGCATTTCTAATGTGGCATCTAAGCCCCTGTCTTAAATTTATTTAAGCAAGTCGTAAGGTATACAAGTCATCTTACTCTCTTGCAGCATCAAGATCAAGTTTGAAAGTGCTTTCGAAAAGCCTCTGTAAACTCATGCATAAATGATTACAGTCAGTAAGAAACCAGCTTATATATGCATGTATGCACATTAAACATGCAGAGACATTAGGACATACATGTGAAGAAAAAGGTTATGATAAGCAATAACGCAAGAAGGAAATAGAGTGAGGAGGGAGGTTAACATTGCAGCTTACTTGCAAAGAAAGACTATCCATTATGCCTGCTTCACAAAATGGAACAAAAGCCAGGTATGCAAAAAGAAGACCTGCTTCATATCTATGCAGGAATAAGAAACAAAATAGTCAGAACTAAGCTTTGACAGACTCCACTGATAAAGTGAATTAAAATTACAACAATTTACATGTCATCTGCAATTCCGAAGGATCTTTTCTCCATAGGCGTGAAGGCACCAGCAGTGATTGCCCTTCTCCAAAGTCCTTCTGAGAGCATTTTATTGCCCTCTTCTAAACGAGAAATACTAGGAAACCATGTCATTAGATAAAGATATAGACGATAATTTGTTCTGACCTCAGAAATTAATATGCAGCAAAATTATGAAGATCTAAAAATGCTTTTACTATTTTGCAAAATTTATATACTAAGTAGTGATTAAGCCGAATGCAAAACTCACCACTTCATCAATGTCAGAAAACACAGATCATTTATTAGCATATAACTGATCAAAAAAAAAAAAAAAAAAAAAAAACTACAGAACAGTACAGTCATTCTTATGTTAATCCATATTAAATGGCATACATGTCTAGAGCAGAGGCATTTTAAGCATAAAAATGAGCTGAAGGTTAGATCACATCAAAAAAGACAAGGAACATTGCAGTACCTTATATCAACAGAAAAGGCTAGATCTCTAAGTCGTGGAACCAAGTAGGCAGAATCTTTCTCCATTATGGTACTGCAATTAGCAAGTAATACTATGAAATATCAAGAAAGAGAACACATCCACTATAATTTAGCATTCTTATTTAGCATAGAAATGGTAAGCTTAGATCACACTCCAACATACTTCAAAACAATAGACGATGGTCCAAGACTCTGGTGCAATCTGTCATGATCATGCATGAATCCTAGGCCACTAATAGCACCCCTAAGAAGTGCAATAACAAAATATCTTCTGCGTTTTATTGTTTGCTCTTGCTCAAAAAGATTCCAAGAGTTTTCCCCAATAGAACGGCTTTTTGATATTTTTTCACTCGTAATTTTTGCATAGTCTGCTGCACTATATTTCCCATCATTACGGAAAGCAAGCCACTGCACAGGTATTAAATTTAATCAATTGGATTGCAACCAAGGACGTACTTAACTTATAATTAAAAATTGATACTTGATTTACTCAACAGACCTGTTCCCCAGTTTTGGTCTCAAACCCTCCTACGAGTATGAGGAGATTCTGACAGATACCTTTTGAACTGCCCTGCTAAATATATGCATGGAAAAGACCAATGAATACTATATTTCATCACCAAAGATGAACAAACTATATAAAAAAAGGAATTCATTAAGTTGCCAATAATGAAAAGGAAATGCAATTGTCTACAGTTCATACATAGGTAAAATTCATAGCCTTCGTCCTACCTGAAGCACAGCATGAGTATTAAGCTCATTTGCTGCCATCATATCCGCTTCAACACCACCGGCTCGTCGTCCAGGATAAACCTTCAGAATCAATAATATCAATATACCATGATGCATCAAAGGCATACTAATATAAGCTGAAATAAAGATAAAAGAATGTTCCATAGAACAGATTTTATTCAAAAGAAAACAAATGTCATGGGACAAGACCTTAATTGTTTGCATATGATATCATATAAGTCCAAATTCTTTGTAGCTCCATTGAACAACAAGCACAGATTCACATTGCGGATTCACTAATTAAAATTAAGCAAGAACTATCAAATGGTACCAATTTCTGGACAAAGCACACATGTACGTCTCCATATGCTGCAACACTATTCCATAACATAACAACAAAGTTCATAGAAATAAATAAACAAAGACTCACCTTAAAAACAACTGAAGTTCCTTTAAGCGAACCCTGAACTATTCTTCCTTCATAAAGCCTGAAAAACAACTGCCATGAATAGTATTACTATTATCAGTAAGAAGAACTAAAATTATTAATTAAAAGCTGATTTATATACTTTATAAAATAAGCCAATTATAGAACATGTTCAAAAAATGCACCTGATCTTCACACCACCTTCACCCACATCTTGCATTTTTAATTGCCCCATATTCACTGCTGATGAGTACTCCAAATCCATCCCCGATTGGTAACCAGAATAGCTGCCAAATTAAGAACAAATTTCAAAAAAAAAAAATATATATATATATAATAATATATATATATATAGATATATATATATATATATATATTGAGGGCAAAATAATGCAAAATAGCACCACCTTGTAATGTTCATAAACCCATAGCTGCCGATCAGTTTCCCCACCTCGAACGAGTCAGGATTCATAATCAGACTTGCTGTGCAGCAGAAACGATTCGGGGGAGTTCGACTAGGCGAGTTGGTCAAAATCAGAGTTTTAGTGCATAAGGAGGATAATCTGCGATTGCGAGAAAGTGGAGAGGAGAGCATAGAAGATGCAGAAGGAAAGGAGAAGCAATCGAGTGAAGCGAGAAGCATCTTGACTACTGCTATGGCTTCGAAACCGACGAAGTGCGATTTTTGTTATCTCGTAATAGAAATGGCGCCAAGGGGGAAACCGATAAGGCACTTGTGTGCTGTTCTGTCCAGAGATAATACTCCACGTCATCACGGTTGAACTGTGGAAATTACATAATGGAGCTCGTGGTGGATTGTAAAATAATTCGCCTTATGTATCAAACTACTCCAAATTTTACATGCCGTTATAATTTCGCTTTATTTTCGTCTTTTTGGTAATTTCACCTCAATTTCAATTTTTTTAAAAATAACAATACCTTTAATTGCAATTAAAGGTGCAGTTGTAAATTAAAAATATTTCTAATTTTTTTTTTTAATTTAGTAATGAAAATAAAATTTAAACACTATTTGAATGTCAATAATAATTTCATCTAGAGCATGTTACATTTATAAACTTAGAAATAAGATATTTGAGATACTGAAAATTAAAATAATTAAAAAATTATTTATTTATTTATTTTATACTAAACAAATAATAGTTTGATTATATTATCAATTTATAAAATTATTACAATCAAAATTTTTCATCCTTAGAATATAGATAATATGAAATAAAATTTGCAATTAAAAAATTATATTTTATTGATTTAATTTTTGTTAACATGTTTAGAGATTTTTTAATAAAGATTTACATTATTAATTTATTAATTAGCATATCTCTTTCAAAAATTAAAATTTCATTTTTGCAACATTATTAATCAAACTAATCAATTTTATTCAAATTTTTATTTTTAAAATCTTTATCAGAGTCACATGATAATTTTAAAATGATGAGAATGTTTTTTATTTTTAATTGCATCATTAGTTGCTATTGATAGTGCTACAATTATAAAAAAATTGAAAATAAGGTAACATTGCGAGGAAAATCAAATTAGAGTGAAATTGTACAAGCATGCGTAGTTCAGGCTGTTATAATACAATAGGCCAAAATAATGCACTTTTGACTGTGAAACGAAATGATTAACCATGCGTTAATGAATTATTATGTTCTTTATATGTAAATAAACTAGTCGAAGTACCACACTTTATATGTTATTTAAATAATGTTATTAAATTATATTATTCTTCATTTTGATTAATAATAATAATTAATATGTATTTTTCTCATTAAAAAATTAACCATATAAAACGTTTCTCTTTGATATTGATTTAACCTCAGTTATTTTTGTCTAAGAAGTTAAACTAAAATTTTAATGTGAAATGTTTATATGATAAATGAACCAACAGTATAGTTAAAGTTCAGTAATTTAAATAATTAATAAAGATAATGTAGTTTATAATTTAAACAATTAAAATATTGTGTTTTAGGATAGGTAGTTATGTATAAATAAATTTAGTAATTCAAATATTATTAAGAATAATTTATAGTAAATTTAATTAAAATATTTAAGTTGTCCAATCACAATATAAAAAAAAATAGAATTCTAAATAAAGAAAGATTATATATATATATAGGGAAAATTATTATTTAGTCCCTCGGTTTTTACATAATTATCCAACTAATCCCAAGTTTTGTACAAATATCTAACTAGTCCCTCAGGTTTAGCTCCGTCTAATTAAAAGGTCCTTCCGTCCGAAAAGTTGATTTTTTTCCGTTAATTATAGACTAAAAGACTAAAACACCCCTCACTAGCTGACGTGGACCATACTTATTCATTGCATTGATGGAAAAATTATTATCTAGTCCCTCAGATTTTACATTATCTAACTAATCCCAAGTTTTGCGCAAATATCTAACTAGTCCCTCAGGTTTAACTCCGTCTAATTGAAAGGTCCTTTCGTCTGAAAAGTTAGTTTTTTTTCCGTTAATTAAGACTAAAAGACTAAAACACCCCTCCCTAGCTGACGTGGACCAGTATGAAGCGATAAGGGAGGGAATTGTATAAACTAAAAGAAACAAAAAGATAAATAATAATTTTTCCCTAATAATTTTAATGCACATGGTAGAATTGTATAGATTTAGACATCCCAGGCTCTACCGAGATATTGTCCGCTTTGGGCCCTCAGGCCTGCGCACGTTTTGTTCCTGGGCCAATGGGAACCACCTCCTAGCCCAAAACGTCTCGGGAATTCAAGGCCTGTACTCTATGTACAGTACTTCCTGTGCTTAGCCGATGTGGGATTTCGCCTAAGGTGCAGTCCTGACATAGACCCCCCTTAGGGGACTCAGCGTCCTCGTGAGGTGCCCCACCACCAGCCCATAGGGAAAGGCTTTGGGCTCTGATACCAGTTGTAACATCCCAAGGCTCTTAACCCGAGATATTGTCCGCTTGGGCCCCAGGCCCGCAGGTTTTGTTCCCTGGGCCAGGGAACCACCTCCTAGCCCAAAACGCGTCTCGGGAACCAAGGCTGCTACTCCTTATTGTACAGTAATTTCCACCTTGTGCTTAGCCGATAGTGGGATTTCGCCTAAGGGTGCAAGTCCGACATAGAACCCCTTGGGACTCAGCGTCCTCGCTGAGTTTGCCCCAGCCAACCAGCCATAGGGAACAAGGCTTGGCTCTGATAACCAAGTTTGTAAAACATCCCAGGCTCTACCGAGATTTGCCGCTTTGGGCCAGGCCCGTCACGGTTTTTTGTTCCTGGGCCAAGGGAAACCAACCTTCCTAGCCCAAAACGCGTCTCGGGAACTCAAGGCCTGCTACCCCTTATGTACAGTATTCTACCTTGTGCTTAGCCGATGTGGGATTTCGCCTAAGGTGCAGTCCCTGACATACACCCCCCTTAGGGACTCAGCGTCCTCGCTGAGGTTTTGGCCTCGCACACCTAGCCATAGGGCAGGCTTGGCTCTATCCAAGTTTTTTGTAACATCCCAGGCTCTACGAGAATATTGTCCCGCTTTGGGCCCAATGGCCCTGCACGGTTTTTGGTTCCTGGCCAGGGAACCACCTCCTAGGTAACCCAAAACGCGTCTACCATGTTCTAGAGTGCCACCCTTTATGTATAGGACTTCCACCTTGTGCTTAGCCGATGTGGGATTTGCCTAAGGTGCAGTCCCTGACATACACCCCCCCTTAGGGACTCAGCATCCTCGCTGAGGTTTGCCCCACCACCAGCCATAAGGACAAGGCTTTGGCTCTGATACCAAATTGTAAAGCCCCGGCCCATGGTAGATATTGTCCGCTTTGGGCCCAGCCCGCACGGTTTTTGTTCTTGGGCCAGCAACATATGCTGTAACCCAAAACGCGTCTACCATGTAAGGCCTGCTACTCCTTATGTACAGTACTTCCACCTTGTGCTTAGCCGATGTGGGATTTCGCCTAAGGTGCAGTCCCTGACAATAGACTAAGCTTAATCACACGAGTAGGAAAATTAGCTTTCGCTAAATTTAAAAATGAAAATTGAAGAGTTTCATATAAAGTCGATGGAGACATAATCATTTTTCTCTCTTAAGTGTACGGTTTAGTTTTAGATTATGAATATTTGCAAATCAAAAACCATTAAATATAATTATGTCTCTAAAATATTACTATCTTCATTCTATAATATCCTATAATATTTCGTCCATTTAGAATTTCATGTCTTTTAAAAAAATTATTAAATTTGTATAAAATTATAATAAATTATTGAATAAATTTTATTATAATAAATTATTGAATAAATTTTGACAATATTACTCTTAATTTAATATTAATCTCTAAGAAAATCATTAAATTGAAATAATAATTATTAATCATACACAAAGGGTAAATATGAAAAAAATATTTATTAATATAACAAGTATTTTAGACCAAATTAGATAAATATTTTAGAACAAACTATTTTCTCAAATCTGACAAGTATTATGGAACAAAGACAGTATTAAAAAAAGGATAAAAAAATCAATTTGATGTTCTAATTAAATATTATTAAATTTAACTGAATCATGAAAGTAAATACCTCTTCAAAAAAGTAAATACCTCATTTTTCTTTTTACCCCAACTTATCATCATAGTTTCTTTTTTAGACAAAAAGTAATAAACATAATTTTCTATTTTATTCATATTTAATATGCAAATTTTATCAAGAAACATTACTATTATCATTGATAATCTTCATTCTATAATATTTGTCACATTTAGAATTTCATGTCTTTTAAAAAATTATTAAATTTGTATAAATTATAATAAATTATTGAATAAATTTTGACAATCTTACTCTTAATTTAATATTAATCTCTAAGAAAATCATTAAATTGAAGTAATAATTATTAATCATACACATTAATATTCTAAAAAAAAAGATATATTATTAAATTTAATATAAATAAGGATAAAATTGAAAAAAAATTAATTACTCATTAATATTATAAAAAAAAGATATTTGCGGAGAAAACACCGGCTCTAAAATAACAGTTATTTATAGATAAAAAATAATTATTATTGCCACCTATATTATTATAATTTCATAACTTTGAATATGAATATTAATATTTAATGCAAGGTTATGGTATATCATTATGGCATTGAAGGAACAAAAGGGAAACAAACTAGGTATATCATTATCGCTTCATACTGGTCCACGTCAGCTAAGGAAGGGTGTTTTAGTCTTTTAGTCTTAATTAATGGAAAAAAAACTAACTTTTCGGACGGAAGAATCTTTTAATTAGACGGAGTTAAACCTGAGGGACTAGTTAGATATTTGCGCAAAACGTGAGATTAGTTGGATAATTATGTAAAACCTGAGGGACTAAATGAAGGCTAAATAATAATTTTTCCATCAATGAATAAGTATGGTCCACGTCAGTTAGGAGGGGTGTTTTAGTCTTTGTTTATAATTAACGGAAAAAATCAGACTTTTCGGCACGGAAGGACCTTTTAATTAGATCGGAGTTAAACCCTGAGGGACTAGTTAGATATTTGCGCAAATTTGAGATTAAACCTGAGGGACTAGTTAGATATTTGCGCAAAATTTGAGATTAGTTGGATAATTATGTAAAAATTGAGGGACTAAATAATAATTTTCCCTATGTATATATATACAAAATAGATATATATAGATTACAAGATTTATGTGATCCATTCATTTCAAGTAAAGGGTAAAAATCGATAAACAACCGCTGTTTAGTGGATGCTATTTTTAATATAATTATAAACACATTTTAATATTTATAATTGGAAATGTACTCAAAATAATTTATACCACAACCTACACATTTTTACATGAAAAAAAAATTTGTGTGTTTTTCTAAGTGAGAAATTACCGCTTTCTTGGAGCCAAAAAAAGAAAAGAAAACAAAAAAAAGATAGGATGTGTGGCAAAGGGCGCCAGCCTGCGCGGTATACTGATTGCCAGTGCGTCCTAAGGAATCACAGTTTATTCGTCAATAGCGATCGCTACGTGTCAGTTTAATCTTGACCGTACGATTGACTTACCCATCATTTCTCTCTTTCATATTTCTCAGTGGTTCTTTGATCCTCTGCCTCCTCACTCTAATACTGTGACTATTAAAATCCTCTCTAAACCCTTTACCATTTCTCATCGCACCGCAATTTCCACAAAATTCGGTTCAACCTTTGTAGAATTTCTACTTCGATCAAATTTCTTTATGGAGTCTGTGACTTCGAATTCGGTGCCGCCATTTCTGAGCAAGACATATGACATGGTGGATGACCCGTCTACGAATTCGGTGGTGTCTTGGAGTAGCAATGATAATAGTTTTGTGGTTTGGAATGTGCCGGAGTTTCAAAAGGAGCTATTGCCCAAGTATTTCAAGCACAGCAACTTCTCTAGCTTTGTTAGGCAATTGAATACTTATGTAGGTATTTCTTCCCCTTTTTTTCCTACGTGCTATTGCTCCTCCTGATTCGATTTAGATATGTTGAATTTTTTTTTTTCATTAATATTGCCAATTGAATTGTGTTTCATTTGTTCTTTCTATCGTACCTTGTGCGTCCTTTATGTGCACCATGGATTGTGCATGAATTGTTTGTAGGTGATGTGCTTAGTTAGGGTTTCGATTTATAGAAACTTGCTTGTGTTGTGTTATACTTATAAATATGTAGATTTGTTGGTGGCACCGGACTGTAGCTTGGTTATAGGTTGCCTTGGGAATTTCTGTGTTATTAAATTGTTTTCCAAATGGTTATAAGTTGTCGTGATGGCTTGTTGGTGTGCTGAATTCTTGCGTTGAACTTCATTATTGTGAAAGACGCATGTGGAGCATCTCAAACTGATAATAAAATTCTAGGAATATCTTTACAATTTTTACTATTTTTTAGTTAATTTGAGAGTAACTTGTTGAGAAAAAACTTGCTTAATCTGAAGATTAGACTGAGTATCATTAATTGAGTCAATGTATTCAGGTGATGATTTAGAAACCTGCTTGCTGTTAAATGAGTATTGTTATGAATTTGGCATCTGCACCTGGTATATATTCTTCTAGCAATATTATTGCTTTATAATTTTATAATGTAATGGTTAGTGTTGTGAAGTTCAGTTGCTTGCCAATGGGGAAGGAAGAAAGTAGAACATATAGCTTTTACTTAAATGATTAATGCAATTTTATTAGTGCAATATGAACCTTTTTGCATGTAGAAAAAATGTTAGTTCAACTGTATTATTGCATATACAATAGGTAGAACTTTCTATGTTAGTAGTGCGATATTGATTAATAATTCATCATGAAAGTTTTTTTGCCCTACTGATATGGTGTAGAACACATCTGTCAAGTTATAATATTCATGTGCATGAGTTCATTCTGTTATATTTGCTTCAGGTTTCAATCATAAACCTTTTCGACAGCTGTTTCTTGAAATAGTTTCTTGCTGGCAAAAAAGTTTCAGGATGATTTTGTAATGCTTATTTGTTTTAGGTATATGGCTGTCCTCTGCCTTACTTACTGCTTAACTGTGATGTAATTTTTTTGCCACATAACCTTCCTGCTGTATGGGGTAACAAATATTCATTGGCATATTTAGTTATTCATTTTTTTTTTTTTTTTTTCATTTTTTTTTTTTTTTTTTTTTTTTTGGAATAATTTGTTCTTTTATGAGTTAGGATGACAGGCAGGACTTGCTTGTCCTAAGCTCCTGAATTATGTCAGTGGGGGATCAAGGGATGTGAAATTGCTTATGAATTGATTTGGCTATTCCAGTTTCTTTCTGGAGTATCATGGTTTATATGGGGTTAAAAGCAGATAACTTGGCTGTAAATTTTAGCTTCAATAACATTTCTGTTTATCTGTTATTTGATTTAGATGATTAGAGGAGGGGCATATGCACTTTTAATAGTAAAATAGACATTTAAGTTTTTGAATTTGGATATTTTACAAGTTGCATACAAGCTTTATGGACTATAGGAAAAATTAGTATTGATAAAGGTGGGACATGTATTTGTTATGAAGGTTGGATGCTCAGTTTGCTAAGGGACGCTACATCCCCTTATATTTTTGAGGTTCCTGTCAAAATTGATTTGGGATAGTCGTGCATTTTTTAATATGACAAAAGACTATTAGTTCTTTTGCAAAGTATGATGACAGGAAACTAGAATGCATGGATTTATTGTTGGATTGTGCTTCGAAATTTAATATTTCTGTATTTTATTTTTATTATTTGTCCTGATCATTTGACATTGCTATATATATATATATATATATATATATATATAATATAATATATATATATATATAGTATTATATAATATAGCATTATCTTATATTAAATATATATAACAGTTATAGCATTATCTTATATTAAATATATATAACAGTTGGCAATGAGGGAGTAATCTCTTCAATCACATTTCTAAAATATGTGATTTTCTTATTAATGAATACTCTCTGTGTGGAACAGTCTGTTATCTATTTATGAATGTAAGAGAAAGGGCTTGGGGTGCATTCTTCCTCTGATAAACTATCATCTGTATCATAGGATTTAGTTTTTAGTTTGTGAATGATATTCACTGCAAATAAAAAAAATTCAAGGATCCCTGTTGATAAAGCTCATATAGTATTGGTCATTTCTACTGTTACGAAAGCATAATCTCTTAACAAGCATTGTCTAGTCCCTTCTAAACCTTGGATCATATGGGAACCTTGTGAAATTTTTCATTTGAAGGCTGCTAATGTGCAATGTTGTAACTTTGGTTTCTTTCAGTGACATAAATGAGGAGCAAAATGTTTCTTTTGCATGCATGTTTGGCTATCTGATAGGGTCTTCACTATAGTTGTGTTTTGTCATTGTTACTTATGTTCCTTGCTGTCTTCAATTTTTTTATGGGTTGAATGTCCTTGTGTTTCCAGAAAGAAAGGTCTTAGTTTGGGAAGTAGAAAGGAAGAAATGAGAGCTGTCTAATAGACTGAAACTTTAGTTTCTTAAAAAGCAAGCTTTTGTGGTTATTGCTTACTCATTCACCAATGTGCGCAAAACATTCTGTTAGGCTTGAATAAATCGTCTTGTGTGTTAGGCTTCAATAACTAAAGTCTACTTTGGTGATTCAGTTTCCAAGTCCACCTTTTTTTAGCGATCCCTTATTATTTTCCCAATCCCAAAAATTTTCTGGTTTCTTCTTTCTTTGCTCTCAACAGATATTTCATCTCATCTCATCTTATCTTTTATGAGATGATGCTCATGAGGGCTTATTTGCTTGTTTGTCTTGCTCTGTTTCTATGAGCAAACTTTCACTTTCTGTATAGAGAAATTTTTTTTTTTCTCTATGATTTTAGTGACTCAACCAGCTCCCGCACCTGTCAAATTGTAATTTGTTGCCAAGAAATGCATTAACCATGGCACGTATTAACCATTGTGCTGAAAACTTGCAGGTCAATTTACACCTTGCTCGGGTATTACTTGACCAATGTTGGGTTTACTTGGCAGTATTTTGATAAGTGCGTCGGTATTGTGAATTAACAGAGTAAACTGGTAGTTAACACGTCTAATCTGCAGATTGTAAGTTTCCCATAAAATTGCTTGAAATTGAATGCTTGATTTTTTATTTGTTTGTATATAATTCATCATTTTGAGCTTTATTCTTTTTTTTTTTATTTTTTGGTAAATGGAAATTCATACTGTTTTGAGCTAGTGTTTAAGATGGGGGCAGATAGAAACCATGCCTTTGCTTGACTCTTGAAGTGGAGTTTGAAACTTTGGATCTTGGATCCTGAACTGTCTGCCTGGGCAGCAATAGAGTACTCTTATAATTCAACTTAAAGTTTCAATAGTTTCATATCATCATCATTTCTACATTATTTTCCTTGAAAATCTGTTGTTTGCCTATCTGTATGGATATATATAATATCATTTATCTTCTCATTTGCATAATTGAACTTTGTTTAGCAATAGCATTAAAGCTTGCTTTAGAATGTTATAAGCATAACATGCTGTGTTCAATCATTAATAAAGCCCAGAAATGACAAAAGAAAAGGCAACATTTGTTTTCAAATATTTATTTGTCAAAATCCAGGGAAACATAGCATAAAATAACAGGCAGAATGGAGGACTTATTGAAGTTATTAGTGAATAACAAAATGTGTGTATGAAGTTGAATTTTATTCCATGCCTTCCCGTGGATTGATTATACTCTATTTATAGACTGGCCTTCCCGTGGATTGATTATACTCTATTTTAGACTGGAATTTTCAAAATTTTGATCATATGCTTAATTGTGAAAATTCATTTCTTAAAAAAACAAAAAAAAAAAAAAAAAAAAAAAAAAAAAAAAAAAAAAAAATTGCAGAAGTTGCCTGGCAACTTCATTTGTCATGCAATCCAAATCAAAATGCAACATTGTTTGATGTTCAGACTTGAATGGTTGGTGCATTTCTAGCTTCCTATACGCTTGGAAGAAACGACCTCCATAATGGTCATTAATCCTGATTGTTCGATTATAATGGCTATATCATCCTTTGGTTGAACAGGGTTTCAGGAAGGTTGACCCAGATCGCTGTGAATTTGCGAATGAGGGGTTCTTGAGAGGGCAAAAACATCTCTTGAAGAGTATATCTAGGAAAAAGCCTCTTCAGATACACAATAATCAACCACCTCTAGTTCAGAGCTCTAAAGTTCCAGCAGTCATTGAAGTTGGGAAATTTGGACTAGAGGAAGAGGTTGAAAGACTCAAGCGGGACAAGAATGTGCTTATGCAGGAACTTGTTAGATTGCGGCAGCAGCAGCAAGCTACAGACAACCAGTTGCAGACTGTGGGGCACCGCGTGCAGGTAATGGAGCAGAGACAGCAACAAATGATGTCATTTCTTGCAAAGGCCATGCAAAGTCCAGGGTTCTTGAATCAGCTTGTGCAGCAGAACAATGAAAGCAAGAGGCACATTACTGGAGGCACTAAAAAGAGGAGACTTCCTGGACAAGGAGAAGAAAATTTGGCAAGCAAGGTAGGCAGTAGTCCTCCAAATGGACCAATTGTGAAATTCCACTCTTCAATGAATGAAGCAGCAAAAGCAATGGTGCACCAGATCCTGAAGATTAATTCATCGTCTAGGCTGGAACCACCAATGAACAACTCTGGTCCTTTCCTGATTGGCAATCTTCCTTCTTCCAATGCATTAGACAGCAGCAACACTTCAAGTCGAATCTCAGAATTGATGCTTCCGGAGGTTCCACCAGCTTCTGGGCCATCAAGTTTTCCTATTGATTCAGGGTTTTCTGTCAGTCATACATCTGATGCCATATCTGAGGTCGAATCCTCATCTTGTGCTGTAAGTGACCTAAATATGGACCATCTTTCTGAGATGAGAGTGAATAACTTGGTGCAAGACACGGTTCTGCCTAATTTCAATCGGAGAGAAAATTTCAATCGGAGAGAAGCAATTGTTCCAGAAAGCGCCATTGGAATTCCTAATACAAATTTTGTGGGTTCTGAGATTGGGAGTAAGGAGAACATCAGTCCACTGTCATCTGTTTTGGACATGGAAATGCCTGTAGAAGTGCCAACTGACGCCATTTTTCCCAATCAAGATACAGAGGTTTTGGTGGATGGGATCCCTAAGCTTCCTGGCATTAATGATGTGTTCTGGGAACAGTTCCTTACAGCGAGCCCAGTCACAGGGGACACAGATGAAAGTGATTCAAACTCACCACAGAGCCGCATGAACAGGGAACAAGAATTACAACCGTGGGAAGAGGATGGATGGGACAATATTCAAAACATGAATCATCTTACAGAACAAATGGAGCTTCTTGCATCAGCAGGCACAAGGGGGTGAATTTTCACCAATTGTACATACTTCTCTTGCTATCAAAGGTAAATTTTTAAACCGCCATTTACAATGATAAGCTGCAGTCTGCCCCTTCTCTCCATATAACAATCTGGTTGTATAACTAAGTTTTGCCTACTTCTAGATTCCCTGCATTGGATCAGACTATTTCTGCACAGTTATTGATGTCATAGGATGTGTTTTATACCATTTTGCCCTCTGCTATTCACCTTGTATATGTATTGTTTTCATACAAAATTACTTCATAATATAAAAAGAATTTATTTAGCATTTGCGTTTTCATCTCATTTTTCACTAAGCATTAAAAATATGAGCGAGGAAAGTGTGTTATTTTAGATAATACTTGCATTAAAAATATGAACGAGGAAAGTGTGTTATTTTAGATAATACTGTAATATGGCGATTCTTTGATGCATCTTCACCCCCTCTTAAAACTATAAGAGTCTGCTGGAAATTGTATATGCTTCCAAATTACAAACTTGATTTAGAGAAATATACTGTTGTTTTCAGAAATGTCGCATTTTTTCTAATTCTTGCAGAGTTGCCGTTTTGCGCTGCCGAGCAGACATAAAAGCTTTTTGCTTAGAGAGAAGATGGCAAGGCTTTTTTTTTTTTTTTTTTCCCATTTTAAAGTTCAACCACTCTACTTTTTACCTTTATCAAGTGTAACATGGTATTGTAGTCTGTGATTGGTTATGTGTGAAGGTCCTAAATGAATGATATTATGCAATATTTTGTCACAAATGTGGAATGAGAATGAGAATTTCTTTCAATACTAAGCACGAGCGTTTCTTGCTCGTAATGTTGGAAACGTGCAGAACAAACTTAGGGGTTCGCATTCTTATTCAACTTATAACAGCCTTTTAAATGTAACAAAGACATCAAGTCTCTGAGTAGGAAAGTTGTCTTGATGGCATTTAATTTAATATCTTCAGGATAATAACCATGTCTGGGGGACTTTTTTATGTACTGCATTTCTTCAAGTGCCTTTACTTTATAACATAAACAGAATAAAATTCTTGCTTTTAGCTTTATTTTAAAAAAATTAGCATGAATTGCTCGAGTATGTTTTAGTTCTAGTTTCATGTTGTTTTTTTGTTGTACTTTATGTAATTGCAATGGTTTCAGGTCCTAATATTTATATACATATAGTTTCTTGTATGAGCTTGTTGTGTGCCTACTGGGCTTTTAATGCCACACTGTAAATTGAATTTTTTTTTTTTTATTTTTTTTTTTATTATTCTTACAAATATCCTTACACCCTTGATATCATCCACTTTAAGGCAAGCATACTAGCACCTGAGTTACCTGTCGTGGATAAGATAAACTGTAAATTTACTGGATTGAATTTGAATATAATAAAGTTACTAACATTTTTCAAACAAAAATATTTGATATTTATCAAATAGTGTAATAATGATAATGATAAATAAAAAAAAAATTCAGTCAGAGTCAAACTAGAAAAAAGTGGGAAAAAAAAAAAGAAGAAAAAGTGAAGTTAGAAAAGGTACTGTTGCACAATTTGCCGCGCCGCTTGTTACAACTTCACTTCAGTCAAGGTAATGACTTCGGGCGTGGTCAGCTTCCATAACGTGACAGGACGGTGTGTACAAGGCCCGAAAATGAATTCACCGCGGTGTGGCTGACCGGCGTTGCTGGCAATTCCGGCTTCAGGCTGCAACTCACTGCTTATGTCGTCAGTGTCTAATAATACCAGCATTACTTTTATTAGAATATTACTTCATTTTCTGCCCAAAAAGTTTCACTTCTCTTTTCGTTTACCCCTAAATTTCATTTTTCTTTATTTCCATATCATTTTTTTCTACTTTATAAATCTTTTTCCCCAGTAAAGTATTAATGAAACCTAATAGTTCTATGGCTTGGTTTAATACCAACTCTTATAATATAATTATCTTAAAATTAAATTTATTAAATATGAATACTTAATTTCTATTTTCAAATTGGTAGAATTCCATAACCATTATATTTAAGGTTTATGTTTTAAAAGATTTTGGATGAACTTTTCACAATGGGAAATTGAACAAACCATAAATCGTTAAAAACAAACGATTCATCGAGTATTCCGGAACATTCTCGACTAGGAATAGATGTTGATGGGCCCAAATAACTGGTATAGCAAGCAGAGAAAAAACAAAAGATTCATCGAGTATTCTGGAACATTCTCGACTAGGAATAGATGTTGAAGCAAGCAGAGAAAAAACAAAAGATTCATCGAGTATTCTGGAACATTCTCGACTAGGAATAGATGTTGATGGGCCCATATAACTTGTATTGCAAGTAGAGAAAATAAACGACCTGGAATTGACTCTTCCACTGGCTCACTCTCATCAGCTCTTCTATAAGTAGATCAGACACTCTGCGTACCAACACACACATCACCATCAAAGTTTCTTAGTTACAGTCTTATAGAGCTTTTCTAGTCTCTCCAGTTGCTAATCGCTTCCTGTTTTAGGAAGAGGAATGAAATTTATGCTTTTTATTGGGTGAGTTATATATTTATACGAACATTTCTTTAATTAATTAATATACTCTAGTTTATATTTTTGCTTATCAGAACTCTAATTCATTTCTTGCAGATACAGATATAATAACTAGCAAGAAATATATGGCTACTCCTACTTCAGAATCAGTTCAAGATGTTGGAGACGGATTTCGTCCCACTGAAAAGGAATTGGTGAATCATTATCTCAAGCTTAAGATGCTTGGTTGTGATCACCGAGTCTCCAGGATACCTGAAATTGACATCTACAAGCATGAGCCCTGGGATCTACCCAGTAACTTCATACATTTTCTCTTCTTTTTTCTTTCCTTTTGAATTTATGTAACTGAAAGTTTATGGATTCTATCATGTGTTTTTCTTCTTCTTCTTTGGATTTTTCGTTCTTTTTTCTTGTGTTTCAGATTTCCTGAATTGTTTTCTGCTTTTTTTCCTCTGAATGAAGACCATTTAGGGGTGAACTCAAATGGTAAGGAGTCGTATTTCTTTCATAGTTGCCGCAGTGGACGACCTAGGAGGACAACAAAGGCTGGATACTGGAAAGGCACCGGTAAGAAACGCGAAATCAAGAACGCTGAGGAAGAGATTGTTATAAAAAGCATTTTTGTTTTCTACAAAGGCCGTACTCCTAAAGGGATCAGAGCTGAATGGACAATGCATGTATATAGTGCTGCTGCTAATCAGGTATATATATATATATATATACAAACACACTTTAATTGGAAGTCTCAAGTTCAGTTGTTCTATCTCTTTTTTCCTTAAATAAATAAATTCATATTGGTACAGAGGGATTTCGTTCTCTGCAAATTATTTAGAAAAGCAAAAATATATAAAAGGGCAATTGATATTACTGCACCAACAAATAATGATGAAGGTACTATACGTGCAACTGACAATGGTGAACTTGAGAGTACTATACCAGCCTCCGATGAAGGCGAACTTTGTCAGGATATGGCACCTTATGATCTTCAAAATCAGAATTCTTATCAGAAGACTGATTATTCAACCTTTTATGGTGCTAAAACATGTAAACTTATGACCTGTGAAAATCAAGCAACAGATGCTGAAATTATAGAACAGGTGAGCAAATTAAGAATAAGATTTTGACTTGCATCCATCATCCACTATCGAGGCTTTTTTTTTTATTTTCAGGTGGATTTCCATACACCAACAAATGATGATGAAACTGCTGACACAGGCGAGCTTGATAGTACTATACCAGCCCCAGATAAAGGTGAACTTTGTCAGGATATGGCACCTTATGATCTTGAAAATCAGAACTCCTGTAAGAAGACTGATTATCCAACCTTTTATCATGGTGAAACAAGGAAAATTATGATTTGTGAAAATCAAGCAATAGATGCTGCAATTGCAGAACAGGTAAGCAAAATAAGAATACGATTTTGACTTGCATCCATCATCCACTATCAAGCTTCTTTTATTTTTCTGAATTTGTTTTTTCAGTTCGATTTGGAACCACTACCAAATATGGACTTGTCCTTGGAATTTAACGAACAGAGTTGCACATTTAACTCTGCACTAGATTCATATCTGGACTTGTCCTTGGAATTTAACGAACAGAGTTGCACCTTTAACTCTGCACTAGATTCATATATGGACTTGTCCTTGGAATTTAACGAATTCATATATGGACTTGTCCTTGGAATTTAACGAACAGAGTTGCACCTTTAACTCTGCACTAGATTCATATATGCAGACAAAGCAAGACTTCTCTAATTATGATATTTGGTCTGCACTAGATTCATATATGCAGACAAAGCAAGACTTCTCTAATTATGATATTTGGGATTTCTCATTTTCATATCATTTTCTATCTGTATGGATATATATAATATCATTTTCTATCTTCTCATTTTCATAACTGAACTTTGTTTAGCAATAGCATTAAAGCTTGCTTTAGAATGTTATAAGCATAACATGCTGTTTTCAATCATTAATAAAGCCCAGAAATGACAAATGAAAAGGCAATATTTGTTGTCAAATATTTATTTGTCAAAATCCAGGGAAACATAGCATAAAATCACAGGCAGAATGGAGGACTTATTGAAGTTATTAGTGGATAACAAAATGTGTGTATGAAGTTGAGTTTTATTCCATGCCTTCCAGTGGATTGATTATACTCTATTTATAGACTGCTGGAATCTTTTTTAAAATTTTGATCATATGCTTAAGTTTTGTAAGAAATTCAATTCTTAACAGCAAAAAAAAAAAAAAAAAAAAAAAAAAAAAAGTGTCTACTGTGGGACTATCTGGTATCAGAGCCTTGTTACTAAAAGTTTATTCAGATCAAAGTGAAACCCCAAGTCGCGTAACTGTAAGTGTCGTTGAAGCCGTGAGTTAAGGCGTGTTTGGCCAGGTGTAAATCGTTGACAGTGATCTGAGAGATGGATAAACTTTTTAGTGGCTTGTCTCGAAGTGCTAGTTCTAGTTCTATGGAGAGAACATTAAGAAAAAATAAAAATAAAGAAATAATTTTAGCTGAAAATTTAGATGTTAGTTTAAGTAATTGGAAGTTACCTACTGTGTCCTCTAATATGATTTATAAGTCAAATACAAATTTTCTTTTTAAATCTGATTATGTTGTGAAATGTGGAACAAGCAGTTCCAATTCATGAAGGCTCTCAATCTTTTCCTTTGTTTTGTCAAGAATTAATCACAAAACATCAAGAAAAATATAACTTTTTGCATATTGGCATGGTTCAAGTAGCTTTAAAACCAGCCACAAGATTAGGACTGAATACAGCTGCAATTGTATGTCTAAAATTGCCTGATAATAGAGATAGTCTTTAGGCAAATAAAGATTAGTGAAATGATTTTTTGTATATAATTTTGCAGCTTCATGTGGAATCATGAGACGATGTTCTTTAGCCATTGGAATTAAGAAATTATGACTTATTGGAATTAATGGAAGACCTTCTTCATTCGAATTGAGGATGCTAGCTTCATAAGCATCGGGCCTAGGCTTTTCAGGATCTTGAGCCTGGCTGGATGTTTCAGCAAGTCTTCGTTTTGAACTCATGTTCGGCGACTGTTCTTGTTCAAAAATAAAATAAATAAATAGATAAAGTTCTATCTTTTGTGATCCAACATTTTCAATCTTGATTACACTTTGAGTTACTAAGAATGCTACGTGATAACCCAATAACGAAGAATTTGCACAAAATATAAAAATAAAATAAATAAATAGATAAAGTTCTATCTTTTGTGATCCAACATTTTCAATCTTGATTACACTTTGAGTTACTAAGAATGCTACGTGATAACCCAATAACGAAGAATTTGCACAAAATATAAAAATAAAATAAATAAATAGACAAAATTTCATCTTTTATGATCCAACGTCTTTAATTTTGATCCTGCTTTGAGTTACTCAAAGATAGAACTTAGTGGGCTAGTTCGGACTGAAGAAAATATAGCCCAGCCCACTTATGAAATCAAAAGCCCAACTCCATCCGACATGGGCTATGATAAAGAAAGTATAAGATCTCAGCCATTTAAAATAATGGTGCTAGAGCAAGAATTACCTGCTTTTGAAAAATGGTTTGCGATGAAACTGAAAAGTTGAACAAGCCTTTTGGCTAAAGAAGTATTTTTGCTATAAAAAAACGCCAGGCCTCTCAAACTTTGAGTCTTTTTTCCACATGTTTTTTCCTAAAGAATCAAACCCTTTCCTGAGTTTTACAAATCAAACCTTTCTCGGCCGGTGTCTAACGTCTGCCTATAGATACTTTCCATAACTCTCAGGGGCCCTTGAAACGTATCCATTTCCACCGCTTTGAAACCTGTTACTGTTGCTGCATGAGCACGCGTCTAATGAACTGTGCTCCTTTTTTCTCGCGGGGGGAAGGCACCACACAACCCCAACGACAACATAACTCTTACTAATTTCTTTCCACCTTAATCTCCACTTAGCTACTGTAGGTGATCAACTAAACCGTATTGAAAATCAATTGCTTCATTTCAAACCTACTTTAGCCCAAGAAGCTACTACTTCCAAAGTAGGAAGTCAAGAAAAAACAGTTTTATTTAAGCCTCCAGTTCAACCAGAAGAATTTAAATTAAGCAACCAACAAGATGAATTAGTTGAAGAAATTTCGAAAAGACTTATGAAATTAAATATTGATAATAAACAAAAGAATATAGTTCCATTAACGATTCCCACAGAATCCGATAAAGAAGAATCGGATAAAGAAGAAAAACAACCAGATCAAGATATTATACATCTGGAACAACTATTTAAAGAAGCGAATACAATTAATAAAATTTTCTTATCCACGGAGCAAAGCAAGGAGGAATGTAGGATATGAAAACCCTTTAATACTCGTCCTTCTCCCATCAATATGCAGTATTTGAGAACCTGCGTTTAATTTATGTCCAAATATGATGGGAATTTCTTAGTGTGAAATGGAATATGATGGTTTATCTGATTATCAGATTCAGAATGCTTTTTACAATACATGACTATGTACGCTACAGCGTGTCGTACTAGAGGGAAAATAATGATTAGAGTATAATGCAAGCTATAGTTGCGGGAATTTGCTGGCAACGTAAAGGTTGGTGGGATCTCGCTAACTCAAGAAGGAAAGAATCAATCCATTAATGCTGTGAAAAGAGAAGATATGTTGATGCCAATCAAAACAAAAGACCAAAATTAGAAGAAAAACCCCAGAAGCAGTAAATACTCTGTTTTATATACCATAGGATTACACTTTAATAGGCTTCCACTAGCAATGCATTAGATAAATTCTCATGAGCCAGCCATGAATTTACGTGCCCAGGATTAAGTCTCAATTAATTTTAATGGTATAAAGATGTCTTTTCTAACTGCTGTCTTAGCTCGACGAAGATAGTCAATATGACTTTTGGAAAGAGGAAAGAAAAGTTTATTTCGGGATTACCTTCGCTTTTTGCCGAAAGAGTTCGCAATAAACTTAAAGAAAGAAATAATGGTATTATACCATATCATACTTATACGTATGGGGAATTAGCATCTGAAATAGTCACTGAAGGGTTAGCGCTATGTAATGAAATAAAAATACATAGACAGATGAAGAAAGAAAAGGTAACCAGAAAAAGAATATTAGGTGATTTTTGTGAACAATTTGGGTATGAACCCTTATGGAAATCCTCTAAGAAAACAGAAAAAACTAGGCGTCCTTTTAGGCCCAAAAGAAAAGAAAAATATTATGAAAAGAATAGGGAATTTCGCAAGAAACCTCACAAGAAACAAAAAACAAGCCCTAAAAGTAAACGAAAAGATAAATCTCAGATAGCTTGTTATCGCTGTGGACGTATAGGACATTATGCAAATAAGTGCCGTATGAAACAACAAATTCAAGCTCTTACTATAGATAAAGAGCTCAAGAATTCTTTAGCAAAATTATTTCTTAATGAAACAGATTCAGAAAAGGAAAATGAAATATTCAGAAAAGGAAAATGAAATCAACGCTTTAGATTACACAGATGAATCCGAACAAGAAGAGCTGTCGGTAATTGTGGGTGGCGTTTGAGACTCTTCATATTCTTCTTTATTGATAACTTCCAAAAATGCCACTCTGTCTTTTAACTGTTGGATTTCATGTTTCATTTGATTCATTTCTCCTCTTAATTCAAATCAAAAGAATTCACCACTTAGAAAACATATTTATATTATCAGAAGATAGAGATTTCTATTTCTCAAGAGACTTTCCACTTCTACAAAGAATTTGAAGAAAACCAAACCTGTTTAAATATTCAAAGAAATTTGAACGGAAATCAAAAAATACAAAAGCAGATAGAAAACCTACTCTTAAGAAATTAAGAGGAGAACATGAATCAAATTTGGAAAACATGAAGATCCAACAGTTAAAAGATAGGTGGCATTTTTGCGGAAGTATTCACATAAAAGAAGAATACTGAAGAGTCGCAAACGCCACCACAATTAATCAGTCTGCAAGATGTGGAAGTCTAGATAACTAAAGTTATCACACAAAAGTGGCATACAAAAGTCACAATTGTTGTGCATAAAGATATATATTTTTGAAAACTATTGCCCTTAATCGATTCAGGTGCCTGACCTTGAATCTGTATTAATGAGAGGCCTTTGTTCCATCAAGATATTTTGAAAAACTATGAAAGGAAACTTAATACGCGGGATTGGCCAGCAAAAATGGCAGATCCGCTATAAACTTTCAAAATACTAGCTATCTGCCAATAACGGTATATTGGCTTTTCAATTACCCTTTATTTATGGTACAAGGATTTCTCATCCTGTTATCCCTTTGTAATTTCCTTTTTTACATATGTTATTATCCGATCAAGAAAATAGCGGGGAGCCATGAAATTACTACTGACTATGAAGGACAAGAAGTTACTTCATTAAAATTAATACTTAACTTCAACCCAAGGTTAAAGAAATTGAATATTTATTTAAACAAAAGTCGAATCAAAGGCAAAAATTTCTTACTATCACTAAGCTCAAGAAAATTAAAGCTAAGATATACAAGAAAATAATAGAACGCAAAATCACGAACAAATTAATTGAAATTTCAAAGAAAAAATAGCACCACCCATTTGTTCCGAAATCCAAATGCTTTCTGGGCCCGTAAAAAACATATTGTTACATTACCCTACGAGCCTGAAGTTTAATTGAAAAGAATATCACAACAAGGCCCGGCCCATTGCTATGGGGCCTCGGCCCATCTCGAAATTTTGACAAAAAAGAAATTGCTAGCCTGTTAAGAAAAGGGTCGTTAATTCGCCCTAGTAAGAGCCCAATGGGCTGTGAAAGCCTTTTATTGGGAAAATAATGCAGAATGAGAACGTGGAGTTCCAAAGACTCGTTAGTAATTCAGTAAACCACTTAATAAGGCTCTAAGATGCGATCGTTACCATTGCCTAATAAACGAGAATATATTAAATCGGGCTCTATAAGGCTCCAAAATCTTTCAAAAATTTGATTGATATGTGAAGTCAGGCTTTGGGCAAATCCAACATAGCCTGAGCCAAGCACCGAGATAAAACGGGGCATTTACGGTCCCTTTGGGCCAATCGAATGGAATGTAATTGCCCTTCGGTCCTCTCTAAGGAATGCTCACCTCTGAATTTCAGAAAAATAATGAATGATATTTTTCACCCCTTATACTACTTTTTCAATAGTCTATATGTCTATATTGATGATGTTTTAATCTTTTCCGAAAACCTAGAAAAACATTTTAAGCATCTCAATATTTTCATCAATATAGCTCAACACAATGGATTAGTAGTATCTGTCAAGAAAATCAAGCTATTTCAAACGAATATTCGTTTTTTAGGCCATAATATTACCAATCAAACTATTATTCCTATTAATCGTGCTCTTGAGTTTGCAGATAAATTTCCTGATGAAATTAAAGAAAAAACTCAACTCCAGCGATTTCTTGGATGTCTGAATTATGTCAGTGATTTTTATCCTTTATTGGCTCAAGATGCCAAGCCATTATTTGAACCATTTATTTGACGGCTCTTAGAAAGTGGCCCACCTGTATGGACAGCGGAGATTACATTAAGCTGTCAAAAGAAATAAAGCAAAAAAAGTAAAAACCATTCCTTGTCTGGCCATCTCATCCAAAGATGCTTTTAAGATAGTGGAAAATCTGGGACGCATCCAATCATTGGTACGGAAGGAATCTTAAAAACAGCGTTTTTAAATGAAAAGGATAAAAGCTTAGTGACGCATTTACTGGTGGGCATTTTGGACTGGCCCAAGAATTAATACTCGACAGTTTTTGAAAAAAAGAATCTTAATCTACTAGTACTTTGTGGCAAAAATTTGAATCAGATTCTTTTTAAATCAAAAATTCCTGAATTCGAGGTTGCATTGCAAAAAGTGCTAAAGACATTTTATTCAAAGTACGTAACAAATTATAGCGTCTAAACAAATAATTTGCACGTTGGCAAGGCAATTCTTATCTGGTCTTTTTTTGATTTTGATATTGAATTCATTAAAGGAGAAAATAATTCTTTACCTGATTTCCTAACCAGAGAATTTCTTACAGGAACAAGAACAGTCGCCGAACATGAGTTCAAAACGAAGACTTGCTGAAACATCCAGCCAGGCTCAAGATCCTGAAAAGCCTAGGCCCGATGCTTATGAAGCTAGCATCCTCAATTCGAATGAAGAAGGTCTTCCATTAATTCCAATAAGTCATAATTTCTTAATTCCAATGGCTAAAGAACATCGTCTCATGATTCCACATGAAGCTGCAAAATTATATACAAAAAATCATTTCACTAATCTTTATTTGCCTAAAGACTATCTCTATTATCAGGCAATTTTAGACATACAATTGCAGCTGTATTCAGTCCTAATCTTGTGGCTGGTTTTAAAGCTACTTGAACCATGCCAATATGCAAAAAGTTATATTTTTCTTGATGTTTTGTGATTAATTCTTGACAAAACAAAGGAAAAGATTGAGAGCCTTCATGAATTGGAACTGCTTGTTCCACATTTCAGACGAAAGAACTGCATCATGGCCGACCAAGGTATTTTAATTATTTTGATTATATGGAAGCTTGGTCAGGAGCTTTATGCTACGATAACCGACAACGCAAATTCAGTTGGTTTATCGTTTTTAATCTCGCTAAAGAAGACTGGGATTTACCTCTATGGTTTCAAGAATGGTTTTACCATTGGGGTCTTTTTCCCATAGCTATGCCAGACAAAGTACGAACTATTTATGAACAATTTTGTGACACAAACCGTTCACTTCATAATCCAAGACTCACGTTCACCATCGCCTATAAAATTCCTTGGATCATTAAATGGGATTATCAAATAGCCATAAAGAAACAATTAAAACTTGAAGAAACTAAAGTTGAAATTCCTTGGCTTTGGCTTAGTCTTCGACGGATCCCTCTTACAGCTGGTGGGACAAAAATGTAATTTCTTTAATCCACCATCAGTTTATGCAGCAAAAGGAATCAATCTTTGGCCAAAAAAACCAAAGTACCAACTGAAAATCTGTCCACAGAAGTAAACTTCTCCGCTAAAATTTATCATCAAATTATTTAAAGACATTTCTAACCTAAATTTATCTCAATTATTTAAAGAAGTTTTAACCAACGTTCCTAAAGAAGAAATCAGGAAACAATTATTCAAAATTTTAGATGAAGATGAACCTGTGTCAAAAGGAAAAGAGAAAGCTGAATCCTCAAAAGCTAGGCATGATCGCCTAAAAGACAAAGAAATAGCTAAAGACTCTACTGATTCCTCTAACTCATCCGCCAGTGATGAAAAGATTGATGCAATGTTTATTGACAGCCAGGACCCATATGACTTTTCATAAAGAAGACACCTGGCAAAAGAATCTTATCACCATCAAGCTGTCCTCTTCGCACTCAAGAAATATTAGTGCGCCTTATTATATCCTGTCTCCTTTCTGAGACGCACGCCATTGACGTCAGAAATATTCCTTTCTCTTTTGTATGTAAATAGCTTCTTGTGTGTAGTACACGAAGGCATCGAGGCAAATTTTTAAGATTCCTTTCTTTTGTATATATAGCTGTTGTGTGTTTCATTTTAGATTATCGAAAAATTTTTAGGCTTTTTCTCTCTACTTGTAAAACTGGAGTGTACTGGAAGAGAGTGTAATCACTGTAATCGTCCTGCTTCTATCTTAGAGTGTAATTTAGATTTCATATACGACGCCATTAATCGACTCCACGATCAGATTGTGGATATTGATTATCAGTTGGGCGATCTCTGTTTGGCTTGCAATAATATTAAAGAAAAGTTTCTTTCTTCCTCTGTAAGTACTTTATACTTCTATGTCTTTTATTCCTTCGCTTGTTGATAAATTAGCTTTGCTAGATTTAACTAATCATAATCAAATTAATTTCTTGCGTCAAGAACTAGTAGAAACTGGAACTAATTTGTTTGAAGAACATCTAGAAACTCATAATGAATGGTGTAACTGTTTAATGTAACTGATTTAGAAAGCAGGAAAGAACCTGAAGCTTTGTTTAATCATATTATTCAACTGTTAGATAGCTTCCTGCTTTCATAAAAAAAAAAAAAAAAAAAGCAGAGATCACCAGGGCCGGTTCTGGTATCAGAGCCTAAGGTACTGAAAGTTTATCCAAAAAAAAAAAAAAAAAAAAAAAAAGTGTCTACTGTGGGACTATCTGGTATCAGAGCCTTGTTACTAAAAGTTTATTCAGATCAAAGTGAAACCCCAAGTCGCGTAACTGTAAGTGTCGTTGAAGCCGTGAGTTAAGGCGTGTTTGGCCAGGTGTAAATCGTTGACAGTGATCTGAGAGATGGATAAACTTTTTAGTGGCTTGTCTCGAAGTGCTAGTTCTAGTTCTATGGAGAGAACATTAAGAAAAAATAAAAATAAAGAAATAATTTTAGCTGAAAATTTAGATGTTAGTTTAAGTAATTGGAAGTTACCTACTGTGTCCTCTAATATGATTTATAAGTCAAATACAAATTTTCTTTTTAAATCTGATTATGTTGTGAAAACTGTGGAACAAGCAGTTCCAATTCATGAAGGATCTCAATCGTTTCCTTTGTTTTGTCAAGAATTAATTACAAAACATCAAGAAAAATATAATTTTTTGCATATTGGCATGGTTCAAGTAGCCTTAAAACCTGCTACAAGATTAGGACTAAACACAGCAGCAATTGTGTGTTTAAGAGATAAGAGACATAATAAGTTTCATGATTCTCTGTTAGGAGTAGTAGAATCATCATTATGTGATGGTCCTATTTACTTCTCTTGTTATCCAAACTTTACTCTGTCTCTAAGTGATCCACATTTAATGAAAGCCCTCTCTTTGGATATTCAAAGCTCTGGTTATGACAAGTTACCAGGATCTGAAAATATTATTCTGATTTATAGAATTCATTATAAGGCAATGAATACAGTCTTACCAAATCTCAGAGAAGAAACTACTAAATTGTTACTACCAAAAGGAGTAACAACTCTATTTGTTACAAATTTAGCAAAAGGAAATTTAGTAGTGCCAAAATCTATCCAATGGGATCAAGTAAAACTTCCTGAGAATTGGCTGTTAGAATTCTCTCCGATTGAAATTAGGCAGAACCGTATCTTGCACCGAGTTATTCACTCTCATCTCAGAAAGATGGTCCATATTTAGGTCACTTACAGCACATGATGAGGATTCGACCTCAGATATGGCATCAGATGTATGACTGACAGAAAACCCTGAATCAATAGGAAAACTTGATGGCCCAGAAGCTGGTGGAACCTCCGGAAGCATCAATTCTGAGATTCGACTTGAAGTGTTGCTGCTGTCTAATGCATTGGAAGAAGGAAGGTTGCCAATCAGGAAAGGACCAGAGTTGTTTATTGATGGTTCCAGCCTAGACGATGAATTCATCTTCAGGATCTGGTGCACCATTGCTTTTGCTGCTTCATTCATTGAAGAGTGGAATTTCACAATCGGTCCATTTGGAGGACTATTGCCAACCTTGCTTGCCAAATTTTCTTCTACTTGTCCAGGAAGTCTCCTCTTTTTAGTGCCTCCAGTAATGGGCCTCTTGCTTTCATTGTTCTGATGCACAAGCTGATTCAAGAACCCTGGACTTTGCATGGCCTTTGCAAGAAATGACATCATTTGTTGCTGTCTCTGCTCCATTACCTGCACGCGTTGCCCCACAGTCTGCAACTGGTTGTCTGTAGCTTGCTGCTGCTGCCTCAATCTAACGAGTTCCTGCATAAGAACATTCTTGTCCCGCTTGAGTCTTTCAACCTCTTCCTCTAGTCCAAATTTCCCAACTTCAATGACTGCTGGAACTTTAGAGCTCTGAACTAGAGGTGGTTGATTACTGTGTATCTGAAGAGGCTTTTTCCTAGATGTACTCTTCAAGAGATGTTTTTGCCCTCTCAAGAACCCCTCATTAGCAAATTCACAGCGATCTGGGTCAACCTTCCTGAAACCCTGTTCAACCAAGGATGATTTAGCCATTATAATCGCACAATCAGGATTAATGACCATTATGGAGGTCGTTTCTTCCAAGCGTATAGGAAGCTAGAAATGCACCAACCATTCAAGTCCGAACATCTAACAGTGTTGCATTTTGATTTGCCAACGACAACATAACTTTACTAATCTCCACTTAGCTACTGTAGGTGATCAACTAAACCGTATTGAAAATCAATTGCTTCATTTCAAACCTACTTTAGCCCAAGAAGCTACTACTTCCAAAGTAGGAAGTCAAGAAAAAACAGTTTTATTTAAGCCTCCAGTTCAACCAGAAGAAAAAACAGTTTTATTTAAGCCTCCAGTTCAACCAGAAGAATTTAAATTAAGCAACCAACAAGATGAATTAGTTGAAGAAATTTCGAAAAGACTTATGAAATTAAATATTGATAATAAACAAAAGAATATAGTTCCATTAACGATTCCCACAGAATCCGATAAAGAAGAATCGGATAAAGAAGAAAAACAACCAGATCAAGATATTATACATCTGGAACAACTATTTAAAGAAGCGAATACAATTAATAAAATTTAGCAAGAGGACATGTAGAAATGAAAACCCTATTATACCGTCCTTCTCCATCAATATGCCAGTATGAAGAACCTGCGTTTAATTATGTCAATATGATGGGAATTCTATAGTTTGAATGGATATTGATGGTTTATGTCTGATTATCAGATCAAAAATGTTTTAACCAATACGATGACTATGTACGCGTACAGCGTGTCGTACTTAGAGGAAATAATGATAGAGGTATAATGCAAGCTATAGTTGCGGGATTTGCTGGCCAACTTAAAAGGTTGTGGGATTTCTGCGCTAACTCAAGAAGGAAAGAATCAAATTCATTAATGCTGGTGTGAAAAGAGAAAGAAGTATGTTGATTGGCAAATCAACAAGACAAATTAGGAGAACACCCCAGAAGCAGTAGAATACTTCTGTTTATATTACCATAGGCTTTACACTTATAGGATCCACTACAATGGCATTTAGATAGATCCTCATGAGCAGCTCATGAAATTTTACGCCTGCCCAGATTTATCTTCATTTTTTTTTTAAATGGGTATAAAGATGTCTTTCTAAACTGGCTGTGCTTAGCTCGAGAAGATAGTCAATATGGACTTTTGGGAAAGAAAAGTTTATTTCGGGATTACCTTCGCTTTTTGCCGAAAGAGTTCGCAATAAACTTAAAGAAAGAAATAATGGTATTATACCATATCATACTTATACGTATGGGGAATTAGCATCTGAAATAGTCACTGAAGGGTTAGCGCTATGTAATGAAATAAAAATACATAGACAGATGAAGAAAGAAAAGGTAACCAGAAAAAGAATATTAGGTGATTTTTGTGAACAATTTGGGTATGAACCCTTATGGAAATCCTCTAAGAAAACAGAAAAAACTAGGCGTCCTTTTAGGCCCAAAAGAAAAGAAAAATATTATGAAAAGAATAGGGAATTTCGCAAGAAACCTCACAAGAAACAAAAAACAAGCCCTAAAAGTAAACGAAAAGATAAATCTCAGATAGCTTGTTATCGCTGTGGACGTATAGGACATTATGCAAATAAGTGCCGTATGAAACAACAAATTCAAGCTCTTACTATAGATAAAGAGCTCAAGAATTCTTTAGCAAAATTATTTCTTAATGAAACAGATTCAGAAAAGGAAAATGAAATTTACTGAAACAGATTCAGAAAAGGAAAATGAAATCAACGCTTTAGATTACACAGATGAATCCGAACAAGAAGAGCTGTCGGTAATTGTGGGTGGCGTTTGAGACTCTTCATATTCTTCTTTATTGATAACTTCCAAAAATGCCACTCTGTCTTTTAACTGTTGGATTTCATGTTTCATTTGATTCATTTCTCCTCTTAATTCCAACTTCCGGAAAATTCAAAAAAGGAATTAAAAAAGAATACACTTAGAAACATATTTGAATATATCAGAAGATAGAGCTTCTACTTCTCAAGAGACTTCACTTCTAAAGAATTTAGAAGAAACAAAACCTGTTTATAATATTCAAGAAATATTTGAACGAATCAAAAATACAAAAGCAGATAGAGAACCTACTCTTAAAGAATTAAGAGGAGAAATGAATCAAATGAAACATGAAATCCAACAGTTAAAAGACAGAGTGGCATTTTTGGAAGTTATCAATAAAGAAGAATATGAAGAGTCTCAAACGCCACCCACAATTAATCAGTTGCAATATGTGAATCTAGTAATCTAGTAGATAAAGTTATCACACAAAAAAGTGGCATACAAAAGTCACAATTGTTGTGCACAAAAGAATATATCTTTGAAACTATTTGCCCTAATCGATTCAGTGCTGACTTGAAGTTGTATTATTGAAAGGGCGCGTTGTTCCATTCAAGATATTTTGAAAAAAACATTATGGTAAGAACTTATACAGCGGATGGCAGCAGCGGATGGCAGCAAAATGGCAGTCCGCTATAAACTTCAAAATACTGCTATCTGCAATAAAGGTATATGCTTTCAATTACCCTTTATTATGGTAAAAGGATTATCTCATCCTGTTATCCTTGGTCTATCGGAGCATGGAATTACTACTGAACTGGAAGGGCAAGAAGTTACTTTTAAATTTCTTACTCAACCCAAGGTTAAAGAAATTGATATTATTAAAACAAAAGTCGAATCAAAGCAAAAATTCTTACTATCACTAGCTCAAGAAATTAAAGCTAAAGATATACAAGAAAAAATAGAAACCAAATATCACGAACAAATTAATGAAATTCAAAAGAAAATAGAAACCACCATTTGTTCCGAACATCCAAATGCTTTCTGGGCCCGTAAAAAACATATTGTTACATTACCCTACGAGTTACATTACCCTACGAAGCGGAGTTTAATGAAAAAGGAATATACCAACCAAAGGCCCGGCCCATTGCTTATGGGCCTCGCCATCCGAAATTTGCAAAAAAAAAATGCCTAGCCCCTGTTAAAAAGGGTCTAATTTCCCCTAGTAAGGACCCATGGAGCTGTTGCAGCCTTTATGTGGAAAATAATGCCAGAAATTGGAACGTGAGTTCCAAAGACTCCGTTATTAATTATAAAACCACACTAAATATAAACCACTAAATGCAGCATTAAAATGGATAAGATACCCAATTCCAAATAAAAAAGATCTTTTAAAGAAATTATACAATGCTAATATTTTTAGTAAATTTGACTTGAAATCAGGTTATTGGCAGATACAAATTGCTCCAAAGATAGATATAAAACATCATTTACTGTCCCTTTCGATCAATATGAATGGAATGTAATGCCTTTTGGATTAAAAAATGCACCTTCAGAATTTCAGAAAATAATGAATGATATATTTAACCCATATTCAAAATTTTGTATAGTATATATTGATGATGTGTTAGTATTTAGTCAAACTATTGAAAACCATTTTAAACAAAGCATCTCAATATTTTCATCAATATAGCTCAACACAATGGATTAGTAGTATCTGTCAAGAAAATCAAGCTATTTCAAACGAATATTCGTTTTTTAGGCCATAATATTACCAATCAAACTATTATTCCTATTAATCGTGCTCTTGAGTTTGCAGATAAATTTCCTGATGAAATTAAAGAAAAAACTCAACTCCAGCGATTTCTTGGATGTCTGAATTATGTCAGTGATTTTTATCCTTTATTGGCTCAAGATGCCAAGCCATTATTTGAACTATTTGATCGCGCTTAAGAAAGTTTGCCACCTTGTATACAGGCGGAGCATACATTTAGCTGTCAAAAGGGATAAAAGCAAAAGTAAAGACCATTCCTTTGTCTGGGCCATCCCTCATCCAGATGCTTTTAAAGATAGTGGAAACTGACGCATCAAACATTATGGATACGGAGGAATCTTATTAAAAAACAGCGTTTAAATGGAAAAGAAGTATTAGTGCGCTTCACTAGTGGAATCTGGACTGGCCCACGACTTAATTATTCAACGGTCAAAAAAGAAATTTTAGCAATAGTGCTTTGCGTTCAAAAATTTGAATCCGATTTATTAAATCAAAAATTTTTAATTCGAGTTGATTGCAAAAGCGCTAAAGATATTCTTTTTAAAGATGTCAAGAATATAGCATCTAAACAAATATTTGCTCGTTGGCAAGCAATTCTGTCTGTATTTGATTTTGATATTGAATTCATTAAAGGAGAAAATAATTCTCTCCCTAATTTTCTAACTAGAGAATTTCTTACAGGAAGAGAATTTCTTACAGGAACAAGAACAGTCGCCGAACATGAGTTCAAAACGAAGACTTGCTGAAACATCCAGCCAGGCTCAAGATCCTGAAAAGCCTAGGCCCGATGCTTATGAAGCTAGCATCCTCAATTCGAATGAAGAAGGTCTTCCATTAATTCCAATAAGTCATAATTTCTTAATTCCAATGGCTAAAGAACATCGTCTCATGATTCCACATGAAGCTGCAAAATTATATACAAAAAATCATTTCACTAATCTTTATTTGCCTAAAGACTATCTCTATTATCAGGCAATTTTAGACATACAATTGCAGCTGTATTCAGTCCTAATCTTGTGGCTGGTTTTAAAGCTACTTGAACCATGCCAATATGCAAAAAGTTATATTTTTCTTGATGTTTTAAGAGTTTTTGCTTCCGAAGATTGGGGCACTGATCCATTTCAGACGAAAGAACTGCATCATGGCCGACCAAGGTATTTTAATTATTTTGATTATATGGAAGCTTGGTCAGGAGCTTTATGCTACGATAACCGACAACGCAAATTCAGTTGGTTTATCGTTTTTAATCTCGCTAAAGAAGACTGGGATTTACCTCTATGGTTTCAAGAATGGTTTTACCATTGGGGTCTTTTTCCCATAGCTATGCCAGACAAAGTACGAACTATTTATGAACAATTTTGTGACACAAACCGTTCACTTCATAATCCAAGACTCACGTTCACCATCGCCTATAAAATTCCTTGGATCATTAAATGGGATTATCAAATAGCCATAAAGAAACAATTAAAACTTGAAGAAACTAAAGTTGAAATTCCTTGGCTTATTTAATCCACCATCAGTTTAATGCAGGCAAAGGAAGTAATAGATTTTGCCAAAAAAACTAGTCAATCCTTCCAAGAAGTAACTTCTCCCTAAAGTTGATCTCAGTGGAGAGAAGAATTTTTAAAACGCACGTTCCATAAAGAAGAAATTCAGGAAAAAATTATTCAAAATTTTTAGAGTGAAGATTGAAACCTGTGTCAAAAGTGAAAAGAGAAAGCTGAATCGC